TGTCATTGTTAAAATGCAGAGACTAATGTGTTTAGCAAGGCCTGTTTGATGACTCATCAACTATTTGAATGTGAGTCAAGAAATAATTATATTCGATATCATAAATGGCAATATTTAAGTATTTATTATTAATCCTTGAAATATATATTTTTAAAATTATTTAATTATTTAAAAAGTGTTTATAGGAATTTCAACACTTTCTTTTAAAATTTTCTATTTTTATGACGATAAAAAATTAAATTCCAGGCACTTAAAATATCTACATGACTCAATTGCTCAGCTTTAACAAACTTGATTGTTCGTGCAAACATTGCGTTTTGTTTATGTTTACTGTTGATGCTCAGTCTATGCTTGCTAATTAATAAATCAAATATTTTATTCCCAACCAAAGCCAAGTGCAAGTGTTAAAGCTAACGGTATCAGGATGATTAACAGCCAAAAAATGTATAATTTCCAAAATTTTTAGAGCGTCATAAATATTGGAGACGGCTGAAGACTTTCGCAAAATTAGCTTTCAACTTTTCCGTTGGCGATGAGACGTTACACAAGTGGGGATATAAAATTGCACATTACGCATACGCGTCGTATGCATATTACGCATACGCACTGACTTATGTGTGGTGCTTGGGGTGCAGGTAGCGGAAAATTGATCGCACGGGCCCCTTGTGGGCGTCAGCAGGAAATCATAAAATTACAATTTTCATTGGACGGAACAAGTAGATATATCATTATACTTATATCTATGATATGTCTGTACATTTGAGACACAGCAACAAAAACAACGACCACAATTACCTGTTTTGTAGGTAGAGTGCGAATGGCTTAGAGGCTGGAACCTGTCTCTGCTTTTGGCACTCTGGCGGGCCCAAGCTATAATTATGTAATTGTGTAATGCGAGTGAAATGCTCGAAGGAATCATTTGGTTGTACAATAAATTGCAAATCATAAATTTCTAGTCTTCGCAAATGTCAACTCGATTACAGTAGACTAGCTCATTTGCCTAATTAAATAACTAATACAAAAATCAAGTGCGGGTGCTGCTGATTGGCAAGCATCGTTACAATATTCCGCCGTCTATATAATTAACCGATTTGCGCATTTGACTAGAACACCGCTGGCCTCACACGGAAGTCAAACAAAGAGACAAAGATTTTTTTGCGTGTGACTAATAACGACTGCTAAACGCAAGCCTGCCCCTAGCCAAGTTCAGCTTCAAATTAGCAAATCTTGAAAAAAAAAATATATTAAATGTGAATTACTTTCCAGGCCGCACAGAAACCATTCGGTCATAAAAAATATAGTATTTAAAACCCAGCCCAGGTATTAAAAGACGGAAGCTGGCCTCAATTGTGGTTTCTTTCATATGTAGATAAATATATTTATGGTTAGATATATCAATAGACTCATAGAGGCGTTGCTGTTCAATTGTGGCGGCAATCAAAAGTTTTTTTATATTCTCATAATTGAATTGTAGCAACGCAAAAAAAAGATTGCTTTTGTTGAAAAAACGAATCCGAGCATCAAGAGTAGATTGAGACACACAAATCATGAGGTTATAGATCACTGTTGAAAGGCAAAGAGAGATAAGTAAGAAATAAATAATTATGAGAGGGTATGAATCGGAGATACTAATGTGCGGCAAAATCAGAACAAGGAAAACGTTTAATTGAATAAAGGCAAGGAAGAACTTGAAACGTTTGAATATCAAAATCAGATTAAGGAACGAACTTTAAAGTAATTTATTTTTCATAAAATTATTACTCAGTTAATGATAGACAACATTTTCTTGTATTAATTGGGTACTCTTTAAATTAAAAAAATATTTCCTTTATATAACTGCATTGGAAATTCACACTCTGCAGCTGTCTTAACGGTTTTGCTTTTCAGACCTTGTAAAAATAAAACTGACAATTTATTGTTGTGCCAACTTTTCTGTTCACACTTGCTGTCCAAGTCTTGTGGAGCGTGCTGCTTCTGTTTCGGTGTCGCACAAATCAAATTCAAATTAGAACACACGAAAAACACGCGAATGCGAGCCAATTATGCAAATTTCCAGCTGTCCGTCAGTCTGTCCGTTCGATATTCTGCCTCAGAAATAACAAGAACGATTTGCATATCGGTCAATTGTTGCACGAATTTCGTGGTCTGCGCACGCGTTGCAAATACATAAAAAAGTGTGAATTAAAATTCCCATATGTCGTTAAAATTATTTCGGTGAAAAATTTATACTCTAACGATCGTTCAATGCCAATTGAACACCCTCACATCTTTCCTGACACTTTTTAGGCTCGAATTTTTCGTGTTTATTAATAAACATGGACGTATTGTTTTTTTCAACAACCCACTCAATTTTAACTATTTTTAAATAAATTGCGAGTGGGTGAGTACAAAAATGTAATGCAAAACCAAAAATGAGGGATTAACCTACATAGGGACACTTTACTTTACGCAGTATAAAAAAGCAAATATTCAAACGATTTTCTGGCGAATTACGCATCAAATTGATATTGAAATAACTGGAACCCAATACAAAATCAACCGCAAAAACCTCAAGCAAAATGACTTTCGTTTTGGTCAAGTATTGTAACAAAAATAACCGTTGTGAGCGGCCACAGTTGTAGATATTTCCTTACTGCGGTTGGGTGACAGCCAAACTGTAAAAAATATAATAATAATAATTACACTGACCTTCATCGTCACTTCATTGTTGGTATTGTGCCTAAAGTCGCCAAGTGGACGTAAGCAACTCAAGTTGAAAATTGTATTTTTGTGGTTAATTTTCCATATGGCAAGAGCACGACTACTGGGTAACATAAAAATTTCCTAACAAGATTATTAAAAAAATCAATCTCCTAGTTGGCCTAAGCTGAGAAGTATAGATTTTCATACTTAATTTTACCATTAAATGGACTTTAAAAATATTTCCTATACAAAAGACTTAGGCAACGAACTTGGTCATATTATTACCTACACTCCCTGCTGCTTTACTGCAGCCAATTCGTTTTTTATGCCCAATCAGCGTAACCTTTTGGCCAGTCGCCAAAAAGTATAAATCAAGCGATAGGATAGCACATATAAATTGGCCATGCTTACGCCCCACTGCCCGCAGTGCCCTGTTCCATGTCATTAAATTTATGCCATCGCTTAATTACACTAAATTACGCCTAATTAAATTTTAATTAACACAATCAACTAGCTCGCGCACACGGGATGCATAAACACAAAGTCACCGAAGAAAAACCGGCAAAACGTGTCCGAAATACGAATCCAATTTGTGAATGTGGAGTATGTCTGCGAGCCGAAGAAATAAAAAATCGCAAAAAGAGTGCGCGGCCACCATTTCGAGCAACTTTTATTTCTAGCCAAAGTGCTAAAAGATTCAGCGACGCACTCGCCAAAACCGAAACCAAAACCAAAAACCAAAACGAGTGCAAGTTCAACGGGGAAAACGGGTTTCCACTGCCTGCTCTTTGGGCATATGAGGAAGTTAATGCCTGAGCAGCTCGGCCAAGCAAAAGGCGAAGCTGTGGAAAACTTAGTAACAGTTACTATTTAGCGGTCGGCCAAAGCCACATAAAATATTCAGAAAATTGCTTTTCTCTCTCCTTTGTGGGTGTTTTTGGCGGGGGAGGCGGTGGCGGAAGGGGGGTGTCCACCCAATTGCATCCGCTGGTCTGCTTTCGACGTGGGTCTTCGGGTCTTGAATTGTGCCAAATTTGGTTTCTTTCTTCGTTTCATTTTCGCTTCATTTTCCAGAGCTATAAGACACAAGTATTTCAGTGTTAATGCCGACCGGCACTTATTCGGACAGCTTTAATGGCGCAACAGTGGGGCGATATTGCATTTATTCTATAACATTCTACGAATTCTACGAAATTTGTTCCCAAATATGTTGTCAACAAACTTTTTTCAAAATATTTTTTAATATTTGTTGTAAAACTAATTTATAGTTATACAATTGTCTTAAATTAATGAAAGTTAGGAATTATATTTATTTTATTTATTAAAACTAGTAGTTTTCAAAAATATTTTAGTATGTCATAATCTTTTTCAATAGATTAAAAAATTAAAATCTGTCATAGCAAAAGATAATATTTAGAGAAGTACAATCATTAACATTACCATTTCATCATACAAACTCCATTAATTTTGGTAAATTCATGAATCTACCAAAACTTAAATCATTAATTTAGCCTAATAACTTTTCGGAACCTTAACCTTAAATCGGGGACCAACCACTGTGCCCAAAAACAAATGAAGTTCTTGCATAACTTTGACAATTACAAATGATGTGTCTGACATATGACGACAAGCACCGAAAACAAAAAAGATCCACGCATTGGAGATGCGGACTTTTCGCCCGACTACCTGAAATAATAACGAAACAGCAGATTAAATTAAATTAAATAGAGAAACAAGTGGACACACATGTCCGCCAACTGTCGAGGGGTCTGTGAGGCGGAAATAGACTGTGACATCCGCTGACAGCGAGAGAGAAGAATCAAAAGAATCCGTTCCTCTGCCGCTGGGGGCTATCGGTCTCTCCGGGTATTACTCTACCTATAGACCCGTCTCATATCCGCTGGACGTTCGCAAATTTAATTAGAAATCTGCACGACGGCAGTTCAAAGCACTTTTGCTTCCGCCATAAATCAGCAAAAAGACACTACACACCGTACACATGTTTATTCCCTATATCTCTTCACACTTTGCAACATAATTAACTAACGAAATTTCTATCCACTCTGATCTTGTCATTTCAGCCAGCCAGCGAGCACACAAAAAGGCACACAGAGAGCAGTCTCAAATTAGACCGTGAAAGCCGCAAAGCAAATAACCAGCAAAGCGTGCAAAAGGAAAAGCCAACGAAATTATATTTTTTTCTGATTTTCTCAGGGGCTCTAGGGGGGTAGAGGGCGAGCCACGTGCACACAGTAGCAGGCCTAGAATAGCTAGAAAATTATTATTATGATAATAAATTAAAGTTGCCATTAATTTAGCCAAAACGGAACGCGAACGAGGCCTGGGAAGCGGCCGCCACGTAGACGGTAGCATAATAACAATAAATAATAATTTGAAATAGGCGAGCACCAGAAAGCAGAAGACGACCACAAAGAAGTGGCCAAGTGCAGCCTCCCGTTTCTGAGATTTCTGAGGGGAGCGCGAAAAGCGAGAAAAAGCGGAAAAGACAGCTCGAGCGCATCGAGCGTGCAAATTAAAAGCGCACCACAGTAGCCCCGGCTCCAGCTTCTCGACATGGAAGTGGCCACAACAAACAATCACAGTCAGAGCCATCATCATCATCATAATCATCATCTGCAGGCAGCGGGCGGAGCGGGGGGCTCGCGGTCCCCCTTCCAGAGGGAGGTGCGTGAATGGCAACGCATCGATCCCAATACCGGAGCCCTCTTCAGCGGACGCTTGGAGGCAGACCGCTGGATAAATGGACCGCTGAACAGCTACGGCAAGGTGAGTGGCTATAGACTATAGACTAAAGGTGGTAGCGTGCTCGTAGGTTACCCATCACTGGGTGTGTTTCCGGAAATGGTAAATCTCTCAGATCGACCTAACTTGAGCCATGCGGAACATGAGAAACATGTCATCGGCTAAGCCAAATTTTAGTTTCCAGAGTTAAAAGCAAAGATACGAGTAATGAGAATAACTTTTATCAACAGAAAAATAATTAAAACATACAACGAAATATTAAGGGAACAATATACGAAATTTTAGTTCTTAATTTATTTAAATTTTCCGAAAAAATATTGATTTTTTGCAATTTTGTTTTCTTAAGTAAAGCCGTTAAAAAATATAGAATTCTTGCCTATCCTAAAATATAAAGAATACTCTTCAGAGTTTATTTGACATTTTAAAATATTATTTAATATTTAAAGTCATATTTACACTCCTTTAATATTTAATTAAAAATAAAACTTCGACTTTGTTCTATATTATTAACCTTTGAAGAACATATATGGTTCCGATCTCGGCTCAAAATCAATGGTTCTTTTTTCCTCATAAACACCAGTAGCAGTTCTTCCACTCACGAGTTCAGCACTCATCCCTGAAATTTAGCCCCCCGGACCACAATGCGATTACTTTTGGCTCTGATTGATGGAACCCGTGGCTCCGGTCCATGATGCTGGTCGCTGGTCTAGTCTGCTCGGCTCCCCTTGGGTCCAAACCTAATTGCTGGGCTCTCTGTTTGTCCATCGTATTTTAAATGAAATTGAAAGGTCCAGACTCTCTAAATGGGAAGGCGTTCACTAATTTAGTAGAGTCTGCGGCAATTGTGGCTTGATTGCTAGTTTTGGTTTCCTTGCTTTTCGATTTTAATCAGTTAATAGTTTATTTAGTTGGCTCTATGGGCTGAAATCAAGAAGCAGAAGTTAATCGATTAGGAATTTCAAGCGAAATGTAGTTATTTTTTAAAAAGTTAGAAACGCAATTAAATTCAACACAAATTCTCCAGATGAAAACTCAAACATCTGGCTTTTAATAATTCGGCAAGAACGAAATGCTAACTACGCATAGCTGGCTTAATCGCTTGAAAACCCGTCAGCTGGTCGATGGTGGTTACTGAATACCGCAAGTCCAATTGGCCAGTAGAGATCGTTTTGTGTGTCAGACGGCTTTTCCCCGAGTGCCTATCAAACCGCAGACATCGACAAAAACATGGACGTAGATTCGTTGACCGTTTTTACTCAACCATAATTAAGAGGTCACACGCACAGCTCTGATAACTTGGATGCAAGTCCCGATTGCTGCTAAAAAGTAAAGTTTAATAAAGCTACAAATAAAAAGAAAGGAAATTAAATTAAAGAGGTTTAACGCAGTTGCACACGCTGTGCCACTTTTGATTCGATTTCTCAGCGGAGAGATTTCAGCAATAGGCGAATCACTTCTGGCGTTTTCTAAACGGCCATACCTTAATTAATTCGTGCTATTCCTCTTCAGATTTCACTTGTCTTTGGGCTACGCTTGGGCATTGATTGCTCTAGAATTTGTCGGTTAATTATAAATGCCTTTTGGCTGGATGGCACAGCAGCACTTGGGGGCCTATCGTTAATTTTATGCTGCTTCATCCACTGGCAGCCGTCATCAACATGGCCCATCATCATCATCATCATCTGGTCATCTGGCCCATCGTATTTTGTGTGTGTGGTCGAGTTGGAGTTCGCGGCTCAAGTGCTCGGCCCAGAACCAAATCGAAATGGAATCTTGAATCTTAGTTCGTGGCTCGGTTCGTGGCGGTCGGTTTCTGGTCCGGCCAAACTGAAATAGCACCACATACTTAACGAGATCTGGACTTTAAGATACTCTAGCCAACTGCGAGCCACTCGCTTCGGTCCGCCCGGGAACGTCCATCAAATGCAATGACATCATTGCTTTGGTATTGCCTGGCCGCACTCAAACTGAAGAGATTGATCCAAATAATTAAGTGATTTTTTGCGATTGAATTCTGATCGGCTTACGAAACAATAGAATATCCTATTGCCCGACGATGAGATCATAGTGAAGTATCCAAAAAGTGTGTTGACCCTAGGTTTTATTAAAGAGATGAGAAATTTTATGACATTTTTGGCTATTAGAATTTATCTTTAATCTGTTTTGGGAGCACCAAGAAATATTTGGGTTAGGTTTTTATGATCGCTTGGTTGGGACAGATTTCAAATTATCTAAACATATTTCCTTCTCTTTTCGCGGCTCGGTTCAAAGTTGACATTTCGAATGCATTTTTCCTGGAGCTAAATTCGAGATCATTTAATGACGGCACAGTCACTCAATTTGGCAACTGTTACATTCACCCGATCAGTGTTGATATGCCCTTTTTCAGCCATACTTTTATGGCTGCAGGGTATTCGGCAGAGAAACACCGAAACCAGAAAGAAAAATACCATTGAAAGTTGTTTCATTCCGCTGACTTTGTATCTTATCGCGATTGAACTTTGTTGCCACTGCGGCTGACGATGCTGATATTGTGAGAGCCTGGCCGAAAGATGAAAGGGTAATAGAGTGAGGGGGGCTGGCTAGGGAAGCGATCAATACAATCAATCGGAAACGATCAGCCGAAAGAAGACACCGAGTCCTTGCCAGTGATGGGAAAAGTAACCATCTTCAACTTTTGGCAAAATACGTTTAAAGAAAAGTAAATATATAATTTATTAAACATGCGTATAAATAAAGAAAAAAAGCGATATTAAAATATTTAATTTTATACGTTTTATAATTTTTGAAAACTAAAAATCCCTCTTCATTATTAGAGCATACAATTAATTTATTTATTTTATTTTGTATGTGAGAAAAATTTATTAAATCTGAGTATAAATAAAGATATAAGTTGTAAGTTAAATAATTTATTTTTTACGTTTTTTAATTTTCCAATATATTCTTAAAGCCATATGTTCATTGAAGAAATAGTTGTTAGATGAATAAATTAATTTATATGATTTTCTGCTTAAATTCTAAGTCGAATTCCAATTAATGGGTATTCCGAAATGTATTTAAACTTTCTTGCCATCGCTGGTCCTAGTCCGCATTAGTTTCAGTTTAAAGAGCTCGACTCGACTCAATTTGATGGCCAAGTCCGGGATTTATATCACCGACATCCCGCTGTTCATCCGCGGCGCATTTGCCGACAAAGACAAAGTCAAAGGCAGCGAGTGCCGCCATGGATCGCAGGGAAATCAATTTGGCAATATCCATATTATCCAATATCGAATCGAGCTCAGAGCAGAGCAGATTGTTATGCCGACGCACCCAGACACCGTTAGGCAACCAGATAGACGGATAGATCCCTGACAACTTCTTCATTAGCATTATGGATGGTGGATTTCGGATTGCGGCACCGAAGGAAAGGCAAAACAGAAATTTACATTTTGCAAGATTCTTTTTTTCTTTTTGTGCAGGCAGCATGCAAGCGCAGCAGCATTTGAATTATTCGCCAGCAGTTGCAGTTGAATCGCTGTTTCTGTTTCTTTCTGGCCATGTTGCTACAATGTTGCCGCCTAACGGTACCGAACCGCTGGCAATGCCGCCGCCTTTGTGGGTCACTGGGTTGCCACAAGTCTAACCAGAAAAATAAAAATAAAAAACAAGCAGCAGAGATGCTGCCCGCAGAGAAGATGCAGCCGGTCGCCCGAGAGATTTACCTGTGGTCAGTCAGCATTTCATTTGTTGTCTTTTTTCCCAAGTGCTCCCCAAGTCATTTGGCCGACACACGTAAATTACTTGCAACTAATTGAGGATGTCAACTGACGTGTCTTGCCTCAATTAAGTGTTTCCTCTGCCGCTAATGAACTCCACACCAAAGTGAGATTGAGCCAGAGTTGCCTTCAATGACGCAAACACCGGCACTCTTATGAATTTCTAGCTGCACTCTGAAGCTCGAGCATATAGAGATATAAAGTCAACAAGATCGTGACAGAAATAATGCATATCAAAATGTATATTATTATAGTTTTAAAACCCAGATTGCAAGGCAATGGGTTCACAGCCATACTGCAGAACATAACATCACTGTGGCAAATCTGATAAACTTGTAAACATGATCTTAAATTAGTTAATATATCAAATTTTCCTTGTTTGAACTGACGATTTTAGTCACCTAAATTAGCAATGAATTTCCTTAAAGAATGGGGTTTAATGCTCTTCTACTTTTCCTTTTCGTTATTTATGTTTCTTTATGTTTAGACCAAAAAGTCGTATCATATCAGTAAAATTGTACCAAAAAACTTTTGTGCTAATAGGACTAGTCTTTTAAAAACAAGTAATTTAAAAATAATAGTTCAGAATGGGCTTAATAAATTTAAAATGTTTGATTGTTAGACTGCCATTTGCTTTGACATTATTTAGAGCCACGAAAACGCATCCCACTGTGCACTGTGCTCTGCTGCAAAGTACCAAAGTCAGTGCCAGCTAAAAATAAAAAGAGTCAAAGCTTTGGCATGTCTAGGCAGGCGATCGGTGCGAGTTGCCAGCCAGAAAGCCAGAAAAGCCAGAGGAGCCAGAAAAGGCGACATGCATGCCACGAACATAGGGACAGATGGACCGAGGGTCGGACTGGATGCCGGATAGACATGGACGACATGGGGCATATGGCATATGGCAGAGTCCCCGAGTCGAGTCACACAGCCGAGGAGATAGACAGTCAATCTTATGGCCACAGACAGAAGACCACGACCGGGCAGACGACGACCGTGATGATGATGGTGCAGCATCATTAAATTCGTTTCAAGCTCAGGCAGCAAAATATTTTGGCATATTCGTATACGGCAAGAAATAACATACATTTTTCTAACACTTTGATTTAAAAAAATATTCAAGAAGAACGATTTCTGGTACTCATGGCAAGTTAAAGCTTAAAACTCCTATGGAAATGTATTTTTTAATTTAAAAACATTTTAAAGATGTTTTAAATAATACTTTAAAATACTTTACTAATAAATAAATGTGTCCAATTTATTAGGAATAAATTTAAGCAATATACACATTTTTCCACCACAAGTATCCTGCTTTTCTCTTAGTGTAAAGCCGAAAGCAAAGTCTTCCTCTACTACATCATCACGACTTTGGCTGGCATATAATATATGCGAGTGCTGGGCTCCGTGGAAGTCGTGGCAAGTCTCTGCATTTCATTGAACCTTCAACTTGACTTAGCTTTGGTTCGCTTTCGGATACAGTGTTTTCAATTTTGTGGTTTCCTTTTTATTTTCTGCTAGCCGGCTGTATGTTTTTATCGGCATCAGCTGGCCGGCGGAGGAGGCTGTACAAGATCATGACACCGATCGCTGGCTAATTTTGGCCAGGCCGAAATAAGTAATTCATTTACAGTTGGCTTTCCTTTCTCGCCAGCTGTGTTTTGCTGTGCCAGTTGTGCCACGATGATTGAGCCACCCCCTGGGCCAAGCCATGCAGATTGCTGAAGTCAGCACGGCGCAGAACAGCTTAATTAGACCCGGCCAAGATCAAGACCAACAAACCAGCCTACACATGCTGGCCTGAACTAAAATGGCGCAGCCAGCCGGAAAATCAGCGAGTAAGCGAAAAGAGGTCATCGATAGATGGACAGGCAGGCAGGCACACACACACATATTACAGCTTCCACGGCATAGTAAATTGCCAGGCATTACGGAAAAGCGAACCCAGATCGCCAAGAGTCTCCTTCTGACCATCGTGAGAAACTCCGGCAGAACGTGCATGGCCCGAGGGTGCCAAAGTCCACTTATAATTTATGTCTGCCACGCTATTCTGCACTCTTTTCCTCTACAGTCACTGTCCCAATCCCAATCCCAAACCCAAGGATGAGTGTGACTTTAGGGAGCCTCTGAAATTATTATGCATTGTCCGTTTGCCCTCGGGTCAATGGGAAGCTCGAAGAGACGGACGCCGAATTAAAATCAAAAACCGACCAGGCCAGACAAAAACAAAACTGAGGTGAAGTGAAGTGAAGTGAATAAATGAAACCGCCTCATTGAGAACTTTGGAAGGGATAACCCTGAACTCAAAAGCACTGCATTGCAGAAATAAAAGAAAAATATATCAACTGGTTTTAGAATGATGTAAATATATGTTTTTTAATGATTCAACATCCAAATTAAATAGTAGTAAATTATTAGAAATAATAGAATATGATATAAAATATTAAAAATAATATTACTGTTCACAACTTGCGACATATTTCCCTCTCCCATCGTTCTTTGCGAATCCCCTAAATATATAATATTCTTTGTTTAACGACCCGAAAAAATTCCCATCTAATGAAGCTAATTACAAAGGCATAACCACAGGCAATTTATGCTCCATTCGCCAAGTTATGAGTTACAGCCCAGAAATACTAGATCCCCAGTGAGAAGCAAGAACATTGAGGTGACTCAACCCACAACTTGCATACAATATGCATTATTCTTTGTTTCGCCCCAGCTTGGGGAACATTCAAATTTTTATATTCTACAAAAAACAATGCTGCACTTTGACTCATAGTCAAATGTGCGGCTGCATTTTGGTCATTGACACGAATACGCGGCGAACTGGACACCGGCGGGTTAAAGTTTTCATTTTGGAGCATATTATGCATTTTAGCACCATAAATCATCAATGCAATCGATTGCCACAATCGATCTTTTGGGCCAGTTCAAGTGTGTTTTGTATTTCTTTTTCTGTTTCTGTTTCTATCTATCGATGGTGTGTCATGGCACGATCCAATGAACGGATCTGCTAATTGTCCAGGTCTATGCACGTCGAGAAAACTAAACCAAATGTATACCGAAAATCGATTTGAAAATAAATTTTATACAAATTTCAGAAAAATAGTGGTAATATTCAGAACTATTTATCTTATCTTTCTGCAAGTTAAAAAAAATGCTCCTCAAATAAATCAATTGGTTATTAAAATTTATGAAGAAAATCTCGATGAAAGTGTTTCGTATAGATAAATCTGGTGATATAATTCTTATAATTTATTTTTATGTTTTAAGATAATCATTTTTTCAGTGCATGGCTACAAAAGGGTGCAGTTGCCGTTGCAATTGCAGTTGCTCTCGAGAGTCTTTTGATTTGTGGCTGGCGTTTGGTCACGTGTGCCGGGCGGGCGAGCTAAGCACGCCCAGCTGTCGAGATAAGAGGCATCTAACCATTTTGGAGGGTATACTGGTATAGCTGAGGGGAAAGGGTGGCTTGACGGTCAAGTGTTTCGTCTGGCAACTTTCATACGCCCCGTTGCCAACGGCCGAATGCCATGCGACAAAGCACTTTTACGCCCCACATGGGACACACCCACATCCGCACTGAAATTTAGACAATCACATTGCGATCGCTTGTTTAATGTTTTATTTATCTCATTTTTAACAGATTTGAATGTTATTATGGGGCAAGTAATCGATATAACAAGGCATTTGTTGATGTGTTAATTAGATCAGGTCAGGCATACTTAAGAGATTTTGAAAGCCAAGGTGGCTAGAAATTCCAAATTAAGTCCAGTTTAAGTTTTAATTTTATTATTTTAAAGCGAAAAAATTGTTTAAAAAAAGATGCAAAATGAGAACTACTCCGAAACTCACTCCAACTAAACAGTCTTACTAAAATACCGACATTATAATAATATAGATCCCCTAACGAAACCCCTTTAACCTCCACTCATTATCCTGCCACCACTGAATCCCACTCTCTCTCTCGTTCCGATCTCTCCCCAGATATCCGACTCCCAAAACATCTCACAGCCGAATGGCACACAGCACACGCAGCGCAAACAGTTGGAGGTGCTGAAGGCCCGCACCGCCAACGGCGCCATGCAGGTGATCCGCACCCAGACAGTACAAAAGAGCTCGTCCTCGTGGTCCTCCTCCGCATCCACCACCACCACATCCACCACCACCCACCGCCACCGCACGAGTAACAGTAACAGTAACGGCAATGGCCACGATCCCGATCCCCCTCTAAAGACCACGATCCTATCCCCCATCGACCAGGGTGTTGACATTTGCGAACTTAGCGACGATTGCAGTCTCAGCGGCAGCGATGCTGGAATCGTTCGTACCGCATCCGCATCCACAGCCACATCCGCCTTCGCCTCTGCATCCACATCCGCACTGAGCCAGGAGCTCATCGACGATCATGTTGATTTTGTTGTGATTAATGGCGAGGCGAGCGATCAAGAGGACGCTGCCGACGAGCATTTGCACAAAGGCGGCCACAATTTGTTACCCGATACGGCACCGAGTCTGAAATTGAGCAATCTAATGGTGAGTTTGGTGGGCCTGGGCCAGGCACAAATCAAGGTAGTCCAAAGTCAGGGCCTTGCTCCTACTTGCTACACAGAAAATCACAGGAAAATATCAGATATTAGCTTTAAATATTAAATTTCTTACAAAACATTATTTAAAACTATTTATTTTAGGTCTCTAAAAAATATTTATTCAAATATTAAATCCTAAGGACATCATTTTCACACAAATTATATTTTAATCTTCAATAGAGTTAGGTAGGTTTTTTTTTTAAATATTAAAATATTCAGAGTATCATTTCTCATTTGCATTTATACTTCAACAAAATTAGCAGATACATAAAATGCAATATTGGCTTTACAAAATATTGCAATTTGACCTTAGTCACAACTCCCTTTTATTTACTCAGTGTAGTTCGCTTTGTTTAGTCAGCTCATTAGCATGAGCCAATGTTTGCTTCTTCCATCTCGTTTTCTCGTCCGGCTGTTTTCGAGGAGTAATCTTGTGATCATGGCCATGGCAATGACCGAAAATGGCCAGTTGTTAACGGTCGTCGATTGTCGTGTTTTGGGGGAAAATGTTTTACTCTTTGCCGCTGGGAAAATCAGGGAAACTTGTAATGAACAGGGGTCTGAAAATTACCAAAGAAAGGCCTAACATTGTTGTTAAGTTTACAATTTCCAGTAAAATAATAGTAATACTTAGCACTAATTTCTTGGAAAAAGTAAGGCCGAATTTATGGTGTATGAAATCATATATTATGTATGCTTGCAAAATGTAGGGGATTTTTTGTTAAGATTAATTAGTTTTCACCATAAAAATCCAGTATAAAGAACATCAGACAGCTACCAAAAAAAAACTAAAAAACCGTGTCTGATTTTCGGCAATTGGTCAGAATTAATATTTCAGGCTAAGCTTCAATAGACTATCCAGCTGAAGCTTTGACTCATCAATCGAATCGAAATCGAATGGAAATAAAATATTTAATAATAGCCCGGCTCACATAGGCGGTGCTTAGCACTTCAGCTTGACATTTGGGTCATGACCACAAAGGAAATTTCTATACCAACTCTCCCAAAACGCGATTCGCTCATTGGGTCGAGTAGCAAAAAAAAAGTGTCTAATTATTGGGCAGCAAACAAAGATATGCGAAAGTGTCTTGAGACAAGATCAACGCCTACAGTCACCTGAAGAATCTGGTCATCAATCTCGCTTCGGAAATTTCTTTGAGGAATTTCGTTTGGTTTCTTAAACTCCTAAATCTTAACTTTACCAAGAAAAAATGTCTATATTATCCATAAATTTAATATCCCTTTATTGACTACCTAAATATTTAATTAAAATATTACTCTGTGATATTAAACAAGTGAAGTAAAACTATACAAAAAATGAGAATGAATTTTTCAAGCTTACTTAAGCTCCTTATGGAACAAATTATTTCTCTATTAGTTCTTAATTTATTCCAGGCTTTAATTCTCTTTGAACCATTCGCCTCCAATGCGGAAGTTCATTAGCCATGGTTTATTTAGCACTCAAGCTGCTGTGTGCGCTTTAAATGCGGCTTGAGTGCCCAGCTTCCTTAAGCAGTTCCTGTCAAACACTGCACCCACTGCCATATAGCAAAACAATTCCAATAACAACGGGCATCAATGACGATAACCATACGAAAGACACCCGCACTCGAGATCAGCCTTATAATGCGCTCACTTCGACTGATCTGAGCTCTTCTCAGTGCTTGATTTTAATATTCATATTGATTTTGATTTGATTTTTCGATTTATAATTTTGTTTTTAATTTTGCGCCTCTCGTTGTTGTTCCTGCCATTTACAGAAAAGCAGTTCGAGCATTTCCAGCCAGAGCAGCAACAATTCGAACTTAACAACTGCAGCACAGGCAGCGAAAAGCAACACCCACAGAAGTGCGGGCAAAATAAGCCTACATGCAATTGTGGGACCAGAATCATCATCATCATCCTCGTCATTATTATCATCGCCAGCGGTTTGGGCCAAGCAGGCTGACTTATATGGCCAACTCCCCGGTGGCGTGGGTGGTTCTGGTGGTGCTGCTAGTGCTGGCGATGCTGACGTAGCTGTGGCACCGCCAACGCAGCGTCGTGATTTGGAAAGTTTCCGGCATTATAACGATGACGGCGACGACGACGATCTGCGGTAAGTAAGACACACAGAAATTTCAGTCCATTAAACGATCGGCCCTGAATGCAGTAACACATCTCTGACTCCTTCTCCTACAAAAAAAAAAAACAGACTCACCGCTCGTCACCAGCGCCGTCAGCAGGTGTCCCAGTCGGTCTACGCCCCTCCAGTGCCCTCGATCGGATCCAGTCTGCTCCAGCGCTCCCGCTCCATTTCCACGGATGATCTCAGCAACGACTGGGAGCGAGAGGATCCCGCCGAACAGCCGGTGGGCGAGTGGCGCCGGGTCAGCAAGCTGCGTCGCTCCTTTCAGTCGCAGGATCATTACAAGAGTCCGGGATCGGGAGTATCGGTTCGACCAAGACCCCTGGATCTGCCGGGGAATTCGAGTGTGAGTGTGGCCCGTTTGCGGGCGGAACTGGAGAACGGCCGCCGCCTTCACACGGCCATGCGGAATAATCACGTGGACCTGGCCGCCCTGGATAATATATTGAACACTCCTTCCTCCACCAAACCCACGGTGGCCAAGAGGAACACCTTTCTGACGGCCGAATCCCTGCAGGAGATACGCGGCAAGCTGAAGAAGCTCTCGGACGAGAGTCTCTACAAGGAGGACTTTCTGGCCTACCACCAGAAGAAGCCGCCAGCGCCAGTGGTGGTGCGGGAGATCAGCGTGGAGAAGGTGGCTCCTCCGCCTCCCTCTGCCTTCCGACCCGTCGTTCACAACACCCACAGTTTGGAGTCCCGCCCACAGCGGCAGAAGGATACCAGTTCCAGCGAGTGGCATTTGCGGCGCAAATCCTACGGTTTCGAGAAGATGTCTCCGCCCGAGGATAAAAGCATCTTCCGGGTGGATGCCTCCACGGATAGTGGCCTGGGAAGATCTGGGGAGCAGCTGGGCAACTGGTCGCCCACCGAAAGGGAGCGGGAGAGGAACGAAAGGAATGCGGCACAGCAAGCAAACAATGGTGGTACCATTGTGCATTTCGGCAGATCCCGAAAACCCATCATCCCATCATCCTCATCAGCTGGCAGTCCCACAGAGGGAGAGCTGAGCAAGCGGCATTCAATAGCGGTGGAGGAAACCTGGCGCGATATTCGCAAGACATCGCAGGTGCATGTGAATGGAGGCAGTGCGGCTGTGACCACCAGTCACCAGCTGCACCACAAGGGCAGCGCGCAGAAGCGAGTGGAGTTCTGCAAGACGGAGGTGCACTTTGCCGCCGAATCGGGTCGCGTTAATATCGTGGAGACCGACGGCAAGCCGCCGCCCACGCAAAACTTTCGCCGACGCCGCCGCTCCACCAGCAGCAGCAGCACCACCACCAGCGGTCCGCTGCAGAGTCTTGTGAAGTCAGCCAGTGCCGGCGGCACCACCAGCAGCACCACCACGCAGAGCAGCGAGGTGACCCACTTTGGAGACGCTGTCGATCGTCGCAAGACAATTGCCACCAGCACTGTGGCCTACCGGGCCACGCTCATGGATCCGGCCGAGGTGGTCAGCCAGCCAGTGAGTATTCTTCTGGAGTAATTAAACAGAGTCTTTTATCATTTCTATCTCATAAGCACTTAGTGCCAGTTTTATTTTAAATTATAAAGAATTTTTATAAAATCAATTTATTATTACAATGGGTCGTTCATTGGATACAAATTTATCTGGAGCTCTGCCAACACACACACAGTATAGAATCGCCTAAGAAATGTTGTATATTGGCAGGCCCTTAAAGGCGTATTACTGATAAAACCAAAAAGGTTTTTCTACTAAGGATCATTTTCTCGCTCTATTTTCATGATTTCCACGCTTTAGATTCTAAATTTTAATACTTTTTCATGGTTTAACGCCTACTTAAAATTTAACATGCAGACGAGTAAACGAGTCTGACTCTTCCGAAAAACCTAATCAATTATTTTTTCAGAAAATCAAATAAAATATTTACAATCGTACAATAACGTGTTGTTTAACTACCATAGTTTTTTAGAAAAAGTCATGTATAAATTATTTAATATTGGTTAAGAAATACAATTTAATAAAATATAAATAATTACCTACTTTCCAATAAAATCTAATTCATTTTATTATTATTATTTTGCAGATCTCCAGTAGCACTAACAGCACAACCGGCAGCAGTACTCAAGTGACAGTGACCACTGTTCCCAAGCCAGTGCATGAGCCACGCTACAGTCTGATGGAGTCCACTTCGCGGAACAGCTACACCTCAACCAGCGGTGTGGATACTACGGACAACGAGACGGATGAGCTATCGAATATTCGGGGTATCCTGAAAAACAAGCCGGTGAAACCGAAGCCCTATCACCTGGGCGAGAACATCGAAAGCGCCGACGTACTGTGGAGTGTGCCGGCCATGAAGATGGATCGGGAAAGTCCCTCGGCCAGGGATAGTGGTAGGTAGCTCACACATTAAAAATAGCACCATTTAATAATTTTTTAACCCTCAAGGAACCACCAGTGATTCACCCATCAGTCCCAAGTCGGTGGCCGAAAGGATTCGCATCGTGGAGCAGCGCCAGCAGCAGCAGCAACCCTCGCCCTCTGGCAATGGATATTCCACCAAGATCAACGTGAGCCTGGGCTCCGAGGATTGGACAGAACCAGGTTGGCACTTTTAAAATATACCTTATCATACCTACTTAGTTGTACACTTGATTAGATAGTTGGAATGCCTGTAGTTTGTAGTTTGTAGGAATACGTTGTATTATCTAGTCTATCTGGGTTTTAGCCATGGACTCCTCTACTTGACTCGAACTCTCTGTACTCTGAATTGAATTCTTAACGCATGTTGTGAACAACTGACTGCCGCTTCTCTAAACCACATCTAATGCTACATCTAACACCACTCGCTAAGCTCAGCTCGATAACCACGCTCTAAAAAAAAAAGAAATAAAGAAACATGAATTGCCAAATCCACAACCAACGACACTTTCCGCACATTTCCCACACAGGCACCGCCATGTATCATCAACCAGCCAGCTCAAAGTACCGACAGTTCCGGCGTCCCAGTGCCCAGGAGCTGCTGCTGGAGGATCTGCGCCAGCACCAGCGCATCCTGGACGAAGGACTGAAGTCCACGTCGCTGATAATGCGAACCATGCGATCGGCCAGCGAATTCGATGAGGCCATGCGTCGTCTGAGCATAGCTTCGATTGAGTCCGCTCTGGTGCAGCCCTCGATTGTGGTGCCCACGCCCATGTTGCGATCGCATAGTTACCAGGAGGAGGGTTCCTACTCCCCGATGAGACGTCCCTCCACCGTTTCGACCACCTCCATAACGAGCAGCGATCTCTTTGGCAGTGCCCTCTACGATTCCCTGCCTCGAACTCCATTGGCGCCGCCGCGTCTCAAACTGCTGGGGAATACCCAGATCCCGGTGAGCCAGCAGTTGACCCAGCTGCGCAGGCTCTACGATGCCGCCGAGTTGGAGGAGGACAGTGCTGACGAGGAGGTGAAGCGGTACTTCCGCGACAGCAACAGTGACAGCGGAGGAGGAACCCAGGGAAGCTCCTCGCCGGATCAGCAGCCGGCGGAGTTGTTCAAGGGCAGCGAGTACTCCAGCAGCTGGAGTCGCCTCAAGGCCAAGCGAACCATCTGGAAGATCGAGGCACAAGATCAGATGCTGCAGCGAGCAGGTAACGCCTGCTAGAAAAAAAAATATCACAGAGAAATAGAGGGTTGAGCTAGAGGAGTTCATTTTAGGCAGCTGTTTTATTTTTACTGAACTAAAATATTAGCTACAGAAAAACAAGATTTATAAATGTGCATTTATATTTTTTAGATCGAACTAGAAATTTGTTTTCTCCACTAAGAAACTTTTGTTTTGTTGAAAGAAAATTAAAATGAAATATTATAGATATACATTTATTCTTTAAAGACATTTATCCTATTTCTCCTTAAGATTTGATATTTATTTCTATGACGAAACTTCCTTTATCATTTACTTACTCCGAAATTTTTAACAACCTTTCCAGATCTTCCCAAGTCTAATGTGATGAATATAGCGCTTCATGCTCCCCGAATCGAGAAGCCCAAGGCTACACCCCCGACCCTACGAATTGGCCAACTTATACCCGTTGCCAAGCCAAGGACCCTGTTCATTCAGCCGCAGGTTCAAACGCAGACTGCGGTGGATAATGGCGATGAATCGGGCAGCGAGTCCTTGAAGATTGTCAAGGAAGCACGCGGTGCTCGCAAGCTGCGCGAGCATGAACTCTCCTACTTTGGAGTGCAGCAGAAGCAGCAGCAGCAACAGACGAAAATCTCGACGACCACAACGAATCCCAGAAGGACACTGCCCAGTCGCAGCAAAATGAGCCACAGTGATGAGATGAAGGCCAGCAGCAACACGACGACCACCACCAAGTGGCAACTGCTCAACGATCGACCCGACCTGCTGAGGCACAGCAGTCCCCAGCAGAACGAGAATGGCACGACCAACGACTACGATGATGATGATCTGGACGAGGACGAGGAGCACTGTTACGAGAACATTGCCAACGAGTTGACCACCACTTTCAGGATAAAATCGCCCTCGCACTCCCCGGACCGATCCCGATCGCCGGGAAGCTACGAACGGAAGACCGACCTGCAGAGGGACGCTCAGATCCTAAGCGAAATGACCCGAAACGCTGATCAAACTTTGAAGGTAGGTGACTTGAAAATCACTAGGAGTCTAGGAACCTACTTCTGTCTGAAAAAACTAAATCGGAACTACTTTGTTCTCTAATCACGATCGCTTCATCACGCAAATCAAACTAGAGAGTATTTCGCCTTGATTTCAAGAACATTTCTTCTTCAATATATTAGAGAACGAATTTTCAAGTTGAGAACATTTTAACTTGCCTTTTTTCTTTTCTCAATAAAATATATCCAAAATAGTGTTTTAAAATTTATATTTATTTTTTTTAAGGTCAGATTACTTTAAAGTTTTTTTATTTTATAGAAGTTTTTCTGCGGTAGAAATAAGTTTTCATAGTTTTTAAAAATATGTTGACATTATAAATATAATAAAAGTAAATATCGAACGAGTAATAACATAACCTTAACTCTTACAGGCTCTGTCCGACGAGGCAGCCATCAAGGATCAGCGGCGCAGATCCTGTTCCCTGCAGCGTCGCAGCGCCAAACCATTGGAGACCATTGACGAGAAGGTCAAGGTTTATCCCCCCACGATGGGCGTGGCCCGCGGCACCTTCGCCTCGGAGGCGCGTCGCAACTCCCGGCAGTCGACTCCTTCGCCATCGAGGGCACGCAGCTCCTCGCAGTCCTCCATCGAGTGCTGTCCCCGTGATCGATCCCGCTCTAGTTCGCGGGAGTCGATGACCCACGGCGGTGGATCCTCGGACGACCAGGTGGCCACCAAGCAGCGAGCCGAGCGTCTGCGCATGCGCACCCCCAAGCGAGAGAAATCGCGCCACGAACCCATCGAAGTTCGGATCAATCGGCACAACAGCAGTAAACCGAGGAGCAGTTCAAGTGCCACGGCAGCAGGAGGATCATCTTCACTGGAGTCCAAGCGGAGCTCTCATCACAGTCGCCACAGCCGGGAGGTGGATCACTCTGGCGAAACCAAGACCTCCTCTTCCAGCCGCTTGATCAGATCCTCCCGGTTGGCAGATGAAAGTCGCCCGAGACCGAGCAGCCATCGGGATCGGGAGAAGGAACGCGATCGGGAACGCTCCCGGGGAACCGAGAAGCATCGCGAAGAACTCACACGATCCAGGGGTAAGTTATAACGAAGCTCCTTTACCAACTCTTCCGGAACGGATCCAATCGAGTGATAACTTAATCCGGTTAATCCGAACGTGTCTCTTGCAGAACTTCTTGTTTTGGGCTTGCTCATTATGGGTGCCACCCAGCCGCAGAGGCTGAATAAACGTTTTAGGTTCGCCAAATTAGTTTCAGTTGCGATCAGATCAGTTGGCACCTAAACTACACACTTGAACACAAAAAGTACATCACTCTGATCACATTTTCTTAGGCACACATTAAATTCCTTGATACCCACAGAAAGAATAATAAAGAGAACTAATAAAATCTAAAAAGGTTTAATTAGGCTAAATTCAAACAAATCCCTAACAGTTTATTTTTCGAATTAACACTGCATAGAAAACACAGTTAACAAATAGTTTGAAAAACTAAAATTCAACAAATATGTTTTTAAAAGATATCAGTGGAATTTTAGAATAAAATGCAGAATTTTACACAAAGTAAAGACTACCAGAGACGCACTGAAATTTTAATCATCATTGTTTATTAAAGTTTTATTTAACTGATTTAAAACCTTCAGCATGTTATTTTTAAGGTAACTCAATTCTAAACTAAAGAGTCAAAATCGTTTAACTTTTCTAATTTCTTAAATTGAGCCTTAATTTCGCGATAGAATTTATAATACTCCCCATTTTGCCTCTACAGGTCACTCCAGTCGCTCTAGGCACAGTGAGCACCCGTCGTCGGGAACCCGGGAGAGCAGTCGTCCAAGTAAGACGCGATCGAGCCGCAGTAGTCACGACTCGGCGACGGCACACAAAAAGTCCACAACGACAACCACGAGCACAACAGCCAGTTCGAAATCATCGAAAGCCACAGCGCATAAACCATCATCAGCATCAGCTAGCACCACAGCAACCACAACAACAACAGCACCACCATCATCCACAACGCACCACGAACTGACGTACGTATACGTAACGAATTTAGCCAATTCCAATACCCCAGCAACCAGCGAGGAGTCACCGGAAGGACCGGCAAAAGAGGCCGATTACGCCAGTATTGAAGAGGTGGAGGAGGCAATTATTACTCCCCAACCACCGCCGCGCAGCAAACGCAAGAGATCCCTAATCCCAGTGCCAGTTAATCAGCCCGCCAGCTATGAGTATCGCACCAAGTTGCAGATGATACCGGCCAGCTATTCGAATCAGTCGACCTTGAGGTGTCGCAGTCTGGCCCGCAAGAAGTCCTCCCTGAAGGCCACCCAATCGACCAGCTCGAGCTTTGCCTTTATGCCCTACTTGCCGGCCAAGCGAAACTCGAGTGTTAGCCATGTGTATGACAACTATCTGCTTTATGCCACTAGTGAAGAGCTGGGAAAGTCGGAAAAACTGCGTCCCTATCAAAATAATCTGAGCAATGAGCATGCGCAGCTTTTTGGCGCTTCTGCAACTGCAGCAGGGGCGGTGGCCAGGGAGGGGCGTGGTCGCCTGGGCGGCTGGCCGAAGAGGCTGAAGATGCGGCAAGTTCGCAGCAGTGTGTCCACCCACCAGCCCTTCGGCATCTGCACATGTTCATAGTCAGCGCGGGAATGAAAGCTCTCGAGAAACCAAAAATCAGAATAAATAAATATATATATGTATTGCATATCCTTTTGGCAGCCAGGATCTCGTCACAAAAACCACACACCACACATCCAAAATAATCCCAAATGCACGAAAACGTTTCGATTTCCCACTGCCCGCCGACAGCGAAATGCATTTTCCTAACCAGCCACCCAAAAACCACTGTGTTTTCCCTTACTAATACTAAAACCCCCCCAAAAATAATACTCGAGTGTGAGAGATTTTCGTTTGTTAATTTTGATTATTATTTATTTCGGAGCGCACACACAATCAAAAACTCGGCCAAAGCACACAAGCACAAAAAGAAAAGGGCCTGTCTGGGTTCTGTTTTTACTTCTCACAGCGTAAGCGTTTTTTCCAAATTTCGTTTTCTTTTTTATAACCCCCGTATTGCATGTTGGGTTTTGTGGGGACGTATGAGAAGTGGTTTGGAAATGTAGCATTTAATAAAATCTTTTTATTCCAATAAAAAAACAAACTCCACTAATAAACATTTTAAAATAATTTAACTTTAATTCTCTTTGCATGTTTGACTACTATTAATAAACTGACACCACTTATTTTTCTAACCTCATGCACACTTCGCTCTATCAGTAGAATCAACTCTAAAAACTGACTATGAACATGTTGCTGGAAACCAGAAAAAAAAAACAAATTCAACAGAACTCATCAATGAAATTGGAATTAAACAAAAAACGAAACACAACATCAAACAGCCTTGCTCTATTCTATTTTTCCTTAGCAACTGGAACTACGTAGTTGAAGTAGCAATTTGGAACCACTATCCTAAGAAAATACAAAAAAAAAACCGTAGAAAAATCATTAAAAATTTATAAATCTTCAACATTGAATTGTAAATCTAACAGGGTATTTTCTGTCTCTGCAGACACGGTAAAAGCACACTGAATGGACACCAGCATCATCAGCACCAGCACAGCAGCAGCGGCAAGCATCAAGGATCTGGACATGGTCATCGGGAGCAGCAGCCACATCATGTGCACAGCCTGACCACTTCGTCGATTGCGAATAGCAGACATCAACGCGATCGCCACGGCAAGGATAGGAAATAGGATATATTGGATGGAGCTCCAGCGAGACGGCAACGAACTACTAAAAAATAAAACACCTAATTTAAATGATATATGATATATCTACATTTGTAATACGTACTAACACACCTGAACGACCAACCCGATTTGATGAGACTTTCTTTTGGTAATTTGCGAAATTTTCTGGCATTGTGAAAAAATTTCAAACAAATTACTCGAGGTTGACGGGACCAAAACTAACCCATCTAATAATCTTTCGATATTGCAAAATGTGACTTTGAAAATGTTCCAGTTCCCAGTTCCTGTTCGCATTTCCACACACATTTCCCCATCACGAAAAAAAAACAAGAAATCACTCGCTTTGGCATTGCACTCGAAATTCAAGTATTAAATTATGCCAGCAATTCCCCAAAATGAAACTAAAAACTAAACATATAAAATAACAAATGATACTCATATATATTCTTCGATAGCATTTAGTATACGAAAAGCAAAAGTGAATGAACATAAATATAATACATTTTTCAATTGTAATTTCTGGAAACCAATGACTTTACTTAAATACTTGTATAATGGGAAAAGGGGAATATGTCGAAATATAATATATTATATGAAAGTGAGTAAACAAATCTGTCAGGTAAACAACAATTTATTTTAACAAAAGACAAAATGGAACTGCCAAAAGAGCGTTCTCTTTTCGCAGACCCGTGCTAACTCTGGGAAAAGCTTTTTCGCAGCTTTTCCACCCAGACTTTATTATATATTTTACTTTTTATCACTAAACTCACACAAACCAACGCCGTGATAGGTAGCAAAGCTTATGGCCGCTCGTAATAATAATCCTATGTGAGCGTTCCGGTAAATGGAAGAGCCTCTCAGTTGGTGTCCAACTGCCGTCACGTCAAACTAAAGTTGTCCACTTTCTGTGCCGTGAGTAGAATGAAAAAAAAACTGATTAAGTAAAAGTGTGACTGCATTATGTTCCAATGGGGCCAACGATAAGGAACAAGCTTACATAAATACAGGAATATCTCGCACATACTCCCCATAATTATGTATTCGATCGTGTTAAGTGGTTTACACTTTAGGATCCAATGCAACACCTGGTGTGACACATAAATGAGTCATCGTATCGATAGGCAGAGAAACCCTTGGCATTTCGTTCCACTATCTAATAATCTGATAATAGTCTTCATTATCAAACCTAATAAAGAACAAGCAAAATGTATATGTGTCTTTCATCAAGTTTAACACCCGTCCTGATGACTGTTTATATTTCTCTCGTTAAGAAAATGAGTCACCTAAATTGTTGGCACCTCGTTTAACCTTCTTTAAAATATTTTTAAAATAGTATTCTTTAATATTTAGTTTTACATTTTTTAAATGTTAAATAATAATACAAAACATTGAATATTTTTCCATTAGTGCGGCAATGTAAAAAAGGCACATCTATTTTTACTAATAACAATAGAGAATTGAATAGTTTAATGCTTAACTTAAATTATGGAAAACTGCCGACCAATTTGTTTTCCACTTTATTTTTTCGTATATCCCAAAATACTTTTTTATTTTTGAAAGAAAAACATCAATATTAAATTTGTTTTTGCAATATAATTTATTGCCAACCTTTTTATCTAATTCAAACGTATCTTATCGGTTTCAAAATTTCGTTTATCTTGTCTGAAATGGCGGTCTAGGCAACAAAAAAAATATCAGGTAGTTGACCACATTTGGCTTAAACAAAAGCAATGTGCTCTATCATTTACTGATAAGAAAATAAATATGTATATGTTTTAGTTGATTAGAAGTGAAACCTTCCTTGTTGTCTTGGTTTTGGCTGCAGTACACTTTATTTAACTTTCGGAATCGATTCGCAACGGTTGTGTTAAGTTCTCTGCCAGTCCAAGAAGTTAGTCAAGTTCACTTAGTTAATAAGACTTTAATATTTTATAATAAGCTTTAATAATATTGATTTTACAGAGCCTAAACTAAAATAGACACGATGTCGCTTCTAACGGGCAGCGCCAATGCTGTGAAATACACGCTCTTTGGATTTAACTTGATCTTTTTGGTAAGTAAATTAAATAGTTTTTTGTTTGGATGAGTCACCATTGACAACCCACTGATAAATGGGGCTAAAGATTAGATTACCTAAGCGATGGATGGTCAACGGTTAAAGGGGAATCACATATCCGTTAAAAAAAGTTTAACACTTTTTAAAAATAATAATATTAATAAAGATGTGGTAATAAAAATAAAAACCAAATTATTCCAACATAATTATATTCCCTAAAGTTTTTGACTTATTTATTTACTCTGGTATTTTATTTCAAGCCAACTAAAGCTATTACTAGAAATCTTAAGAAGCTACATTCCGTTTAAAATGCGTAATTTTGATATTTTGGGTCTTATTATGTCCGAAGAATCTTGAAAGCACTATCTTATCTAATTGGCCAACAGCTGTCAACATAGAAAACCAAATAAATGTATTTAGCCTAATGGATAAATAATGTGTACGATTCCTGGAAATATTTATAAATCATAGTAAATAAATAATATATAAATATAATTAATGATTAAGGATAGTTAAAGTACACAAATACTTGTTCAGAGACTTAATGCTAATTTATATTAATATCGATTATTTTTATTTTCCTCCCAGATCACCGGCATTATTCTGATTGCCGTTGGAGCCGGAGTTGGGGCCGTCTACACGGGCTATGAGCTCTTCCTAGCCGGCAAGTTCTTCTCGATCCCCACGTTCCTGATCGTGATTGGATCGTTCATCATCGTGATCTCATTCTTCGGCTGCTGGGGTGCCCTGAAGGAGAACTACTGCTTGGTGCTCAGCTTCTCGATCATGCTGGCCATCATCTTTATCCTTGAGCTGGCTGCCGGTATCAGTGGCTATGTCCTGCGCAACGACGCCTCCAAATTGATTAAAACATCGCTGACTGCCTCGCTGCATGAGTACGGTGGCGACAATCAGAACGCGACGACGCGCCTCTGGGACGATGTGCAGCGGGAATTCGACTGCTGTGGCGTCACCAGCTACTCGGACTGGAACGTGACCTTCGCCAACGACGAGCTGCCCATCTCCTGCTGCACCATTCCCGTAGGCGCTGTGGGCACCTTCAACTGCTGGTCCAACGTGACCAGCGTCGCAGTCCGCCATGTGGACGGCTGCCTCGACGGATTCTCCGGCTACATTTCCGCCCATGCGGTCAGCCTGGGAGCGGCGGGCGTGGTCATTGCCATCCTGCAGGTGAGTTGGGTTGATCTTAAGAAAAGCCCCAAGATTTCCCTCGATTGAATTAAATCTGAGTCCATCAATGATGATTTTTACTCTTGAATTTAAATTTAAAAGAATTTAAATATTTCACAATTGCGAAATTATTTGCAATAGCAATACATTTTTGATTACGTGTACAATACTAAAAAATTGAAAGATGAAGGTCTTTTTAAATTTGATCTGATAATAATAATAATTAATATTTTTATTAAAAAAATTTAATAAAGGTTTTAAGTAAGAACTCAGAATCAAAATAGTTCGATTATCTTGGCTTTATCACCTATTAAATCCGTATTAACCAATTTAATATTCCTTCCTTTCCAGTTCTTCGGCGTCATCTTTGCATGCTATATCGCTCGTGAGATCAAGATTCGTAACGGCATTACTGGCTTTATGTAAGTCCTGAGGAACTCTATTCTGTGAGATGCGGAACAGGAACTAAGGGAGCCAAGCTCAGCTGTTTACTTTTAGGACTCTACTAAATTCTATGGATGTTTTTAGTTCTATATTGACTTTTCCTTCTGCTTATATGAATAAAAATATATAATTCTAAAAAAAAGTTGGAAGAAACATTTGTGTACTTTGTTTCTTTGATTTTGAAAGCTTATCATTGGTTTATATTGGTCGGATTCTAGCAATCCAATCTTATCGAACATGTATGGTATTGAAGCCCATAAAAATGCATTGTTCTGCACCGTCTATTTAGTCGTTATCTTTTAGGAATATGTAGGTAAAAATTCCTAAGAAGATTAAAAGCACAAACAGTTATTGATAAAATATTGCGTATTGAATAGCAATTGAAAGGTGTGATCATTTATACATTGTATTCATATTAAAATAATCTCACTTAAAATTAAAAAAATGATTGAGATCAAATCAGATTTTAAAGGCAGTTAAGAGATTAAAATATACAAAGATTTTTCTCTGGAGATTGCAGATCACGCTGTTAAAAGCGACCAATATCTCTAAAACTGGTGAACATTAATTTGCATTCCTGTTTACTAAGAATAACAGTCGTTATATTCGAAATACCCATATAGACATATTTAAAAAGCCAGTCAAAACAAATACAATTATTATTTTCCACCCAAGTCAGACAAAAAGCTAACACACTTATGAGCAAGCACACCTGTGTTTACCCCCTGAATAATTTAAGCTGTTCGGAAGTGCAGTGCGATTAAAAAATCGATAGACCATAGAAGTTGACTCACTTAAAACTGAATTTAAATCGATAATATACTCGATTGAGCGAATGGCATTGACATGTGAACTTGACCAGCAAAGTATATTCAAATGTAGAGGGAGTGAAGACATATAAGTAGAAAGGTAGTAGCTGTACATGGTAAGTTTAATATTATTGGAAGGACACTGACTGCCTCGAATATTCGATTACTTCGTTCCCGTTATATTGCGAAAACTCGGCTAATGAAAACAAGGCAGTCGTTATCTTATCTGATATTTGTCTAACTGGAAGACTGTGAGCAATTGCTGACTGATAAGCTATCCAGAGAGTATAAGTGCCAGGTGCACAGCAAAAAAATATTAACAAAATGACCAAAAACGTTAAAATAACTGAAATTATTAAAGTTGGAAAAAACATGTTTTGATTATAATTTTAATTAATTAAATATGATCTAATCCCTAATGATAGCATTAAATAATATCTAAGCTAAGTATTTTCCTTGTAAAAGCGAAGAAAAAACTACATTTTCAAGAACATCGACTTAAATTTTTCGGAAATTTCTCTCAGTGAAGGAATGAGAGTGGGAGGGAGTGGGTGGCAAGGCCGGACGGCCCCTTTTCAGAGCGTGGGAGAGAGACCGACGGCTCGCAATTGAGTTCGTCGATTGCGTTTACCGTTTTGCCACTCAGTTCACGTGTGACTAGCAAAAGTTTAAGTACGTTCACTGAAAAGTCGGTTGGCGAGCGATATACCTCATATACTATAGCCATATATCGGAATCGGCCTGTTATTAACACTTTTACAAATTGCAGCTGACATCCGAGCGAGAATTCGAATAGCAGAATGGCGAACCGGGACTTACAGCTGAATTCGGGCATGAAGTGCGCCAAATACATGCTCATCATCGTGAGCTTTATGTTTGCGGTGAGTCGATCCTGGATGTTAATCCTTGAATAATGAATTCCGTGAATCACAATTCCGCCATCTTGATTTATTTTCCATTTTCTGCGTGTTCTTTTTTTATCATATAAAACACCCATTCTTATCAGCCTTAGAGGAATATTAGAGTGTGGGTGTAGTATTTTTTTTTTTGTGAATCATTTTGCGCCTACGTAAGTCGCTGATAAAAACAAAACAAGAGCAAACAGGGAAATCAGAGAGCAAGAGAAACGGGTCAAGAACAAGCTAAAATGTTCTCTTAACGACTGTTCTCTGTTAGCTTTTGAAAACAAATATTAGCAATATTAAAAACCATTTGGAGTATTGGTAACAATAGATAGAATCTTTCAATGTTATAAATAAATACCGTTCTTATATTATAGATTTGTAAAATATTCTTCTAAGCTTTAACGGTATTACAAACAGTAATTCTTAACCCATATTTCACCATTCTTTCAACTGCTCAGTTGCCTTTAAACTGTATAACAATTACTCACTTCGATAAGATAACAAGACAAAAATACTTTATAATGTGTTGGTGAAACAATATAGGTATAACTGCGTATGTATTTCCGGGCCAGGTAGTAACATGTTCTCTCAACATGGAATACAGGTAATTTTAAAGTTGTTTATCAACAATTATCAAATATTTACTTATTTGTTTTCAAACAAACAAATATTTGTAAGCTTGCAAAAGTGCAGTTAAACCAAAAATGCTTTAAAACCTATCAAACTATATTAATATGATAAGGGGAAATTTCAAGACCTCAATGTTATACAGTATTAAGTAATAATAGTAAAATACTGTTTTAGTAGACTTGAAAAAAGTATCAGCAGTTTTCTCAATGCTAGATCATCCGGAATGGGTTATTAGCTGACCGACATAATAATAGATGCAATACCCGTCTGAATGCCTTCCCTCATCACAAATCAACTGCGTTTCATGTGCTCACAAAGTCACACTGAAAATCTCGCCTCAAATGAGATTTGACATGCAATTCGTTACAAAATATTATTCCCTTTCCTCCGCAGCTGACCGCCATCCTTCTGATAATGGTGGGAACTACGATCCAGGCGATTTTCGGGGATTTCAGCCTGTTCATCGATGGACACTTCTCGTCGCCTCCGGCGCTCCTCATCGCCATTGGATTCATTCTGATCGCAGTGGCCACTCTGGGAGCTTATGGAGCCGTCAAGGAGAGTGTGATGCTCATTAATCTGGTGAGTTAATTATCTTAAAATAGGGTGCTTATTTTAGGAAGAGTCAATATAATTTTCCCATTCATTTTGTTTATTAATACAATTAGAATTGACATTAGCCGTAGTCAAATTTTCAGCCTTTCTCATTGAAAATCGAATTTTACACTTTTTTACTTTTCTGTGCAAATATAGACTAATTGTCTTACCCCTTTGCAGTACGGAGTTTGCCTGTTCCTGGTGTTCATCCTCGAGGTTTCTGCAGCCATCGCCGCCTTTGTGATGCAATCCCAAGTGAGGGGCATGCTGATCCGAACAATGCACCAGGCCCTAACCGAATACGACAGCGATCCCTATGTGGCAGCTGGAGTGGACTTCATGCAATCTGGGGTAAGTTTGAACCAAAAAAAAGTTTGGCTTTTTAAATGAATTTGAATTTAATAGTATTAAAAAGAATAATATACAAAATACTATTAATGAAAAAATCAAACTGAGCTTATGAATAATCGAATTTTGTGTTGAAGGGCTGGTCTTGCAACAAGACTCTTGTTATCATGATTTATTTTTAATTTTCTTTAAAAAGCTGTCAAAATTAAAATCAGATTATCAGGAAAGAAACAGTGTAATATTGTACAAGATTTTGGATATTTAACTTTCAAAAATATTTCAATTTTGCCTAATTTAAATTGTAATTTAGATTTATAAAAATTTTTTTATTTATTTTATATATTTATTATAAAATTATTAAATGAATTACTTTTATATAGACCATCTTAATATAAATTGTGATTATGAAAAAAATTTATTTACTGTGTTTCTTTGCTTACAGCTTGAGTGCTGCGGTGTGGATGAGCCAGAGGACTGGAAGGACTGCTACGGTCCCAACAAGAACGCGACCCTTGGATCGGACGACGTGGTGGTGCCCAACTCCTGCTGCGGCCGCCTGGCCCAGGATGTGAGTGACGGCCAGGTGACCTGTCTGGAGACCTTCGACTACGGCTGCTTCCGAAAGATGAACTTCATCGTGTCGCAGAGCGCAATGTTGATCGCCACTGGAGCCACCACGGTGGCCTTTGTCCAGCTGCTGGGCGTCCTGTGCGCCTTCATGTTGGCCAAGACTCTCCGCCGGAACAAGTCCATCCGCGAGGCACGCCGCTGGCAGCTGCAGCAGAGCCTGGGCGTCCTCATCTCCGGAGGAAAGATGGCTCCGCCAATGAACTCGGCGGTCACCGGCTACCAGCAGCTGGACAACGGCGAGCAGGGCACCCACGAACCCTACACCTACACGCCCCAGAGCCCCAGCGTTAACTAGGCCTCGATAGCCATTGAAGCCCTATTTATACCATATAGCATTCCCAAAGAGATCCGCTTGTAAATGTAACTTTATAATTTGTTAACTAAAAAATATAGAAAAACGAAATAAACGCAGTGGTTCTAGGACTACTTGCTGAATTTATCGACGAAAATTATTGGGAATGGTTATATTTTTAAAACAATCAACTTTATGCCCAAGTTCTTGATTCTGGTCGCATTTTCGCAACTGTTAAAGAACTCAGAAGCTCAGCAATTAAATTTAAATCTTAGTTTTCTTAAATTCAATTATTTTAATTGTTCTTAAATTCCAAATACGCAGCTATTACAACTTAATTGACTTTAAAATTTTACTAGTCCTTATCACTGTTATTTATAGGGTTTTAATGAGAAAGCTTAATTCAAAGAAAGCTGATACGGCAGCTTGGAATACCAGTTTTAGTAAGGCTACATATGTATTTAGAAATAATTAGCTTCTGAACATAAATATTAATTTTTGAGTATATTGTAGTTGTAGTTGATTGGGAAACAAAATTCTAATTTATGACATGTGACTTTTTCGGAGACAAACTATATTATTTACATTTTTAAGATATTAAAATACATTAACCAAAAAACTATTGAAATACCCACTGAACTACTTATTTCCCCAGTACAATTAAAATTTTACAAATAAACCTAATCCAACTGTTTAAAAATTCAGAACATTATGATTTTAATGGGAAAGCTTAGTACTCAGAAACTTTCTATTTTTATTAGAAAGCTTATACGGCAGCTAGGAACACCAATTAAATGAGAGCAGAGCCAAAAAACAGTACATTTTATAGTCCAATATTTCGAATGTCACAGGTGCACAAAAAAAAAATCTTCACATATTTTTTAATATTTGTCAATTAATTGAAATGATATTTGTATTGTTGAACTACAATGGTAAGAATATTCTTTATTTTAATCTTTAATCTTTCTGAATTATGGGAAAAATCATTTGAAAATCACTTTGGTATTTTTTTTAAGAAATATATATTGTGACAATAATGCTGATTCTGGCAAGATTCAAGTCTCCCACTTTTTCTTCAGGTGTAAAATTAGCTAGCTTAGAGCTTCTCGATTAAGTTTAACGTTTCAGTCCACGCGAGACCAGCAAAAGAAAAAGTATGTTCACTTCTCGATTACAATATGTTAGACCAAATAATCTTCTTAATTTTTCTTAAACATAATAAATTAATTTAAATTTGATTGAGAAAATAGTTTGCAATAATACACAAGAAATTAATCTTATATATATATTTTTTTATATATTTTCATTACTGCCAACAGAAATTATTATGGCTAATCTGGATTCGAAAATAGATTTCATCAAATACAGCCTCGTCGTTGTAAGCACAATTTGTAAGGTGAGTCTTTCATAAATTAACTCCAGCAATTGTAGTTCACAACGATCACATTTCCTTATTAGATGTTCGAAAAAAATACAAATTAGTCCATCCTTGAAAACATAACACTCAAACAATTTTCTTATTTTGTTATTATTTTAAGTTATTTTTCTTTTCCTGTTTTGAATTCAGTGAAGTTCCTTAAATAATTTTGTAGCCGACATCCCAGATTCTCTTTTATAAACTATTCCAAATAAATGTAGATTTATACATAGAATACAAAATTATTAATGACGATTTTAACCATGTTTCTTCATTTCCAAAGCTAACGGGAATCTGCCTGATAGGACTGGGAACTTATGACCTTGCGGCCTATAGCGATTTTAGACAACTCTATTTGGTCATCGATGGACACTTTTCAACGCCGTCAGTGCTGCTCATCGCCAGTGGACTTTTTATCATCGCAGTGGCTACTTTAGGATTTTATGGAGCCTACAAGGAGAGTGTAATGCTCATTAATCTGGTGAGTGCTATAGGTACATTATGAATTACATTTTTGAGTACCTAAACCAAAAAGAGAATAAAAAAATAATTAAATATTTAATATTATTAAAACTTAAGAATAAAAAAATGTCATACGTTTTTTGTTTTAAACCCTTCGATAAAAAGACCTAAAATTGTCTTCATCTTTTTGATAATGCGAATATTAAATAATCAGTTTCCTTTTTTCAGTATGGAGTTTGCCTGTTTCTGGTGTTGATTCTAGAGGTTTCGATCGTCATAACGACATTTGTGTCGTATTCGGCGGAGACAACAATTGAAACAATGAATGGAGCATTCAAAAGTTACAGCACAGATCGCAATGTGGCAAATCAAATAAATGATATGCAATCAAGGGTAAGTTTGATCTAATTTGAATTCTAAATAAATGGTTATCAGATTTGTAATTAATATTTTTATAAACTTCATATTCCTATTCAACTAAACTAAAATCAAAATTTTAGTTTAAACCACTTTTTCACAAAGTCAAATAGTTCTTATATTTTTTTTAACTTATCTTTTTTAGCTTTCATGCTGCGGAGTACATAATACCACGAATTGGATGGAGCACTTAGGAGATAATACAACGTATACTTTTGACCAAGGTGCCATAAGGGTACCTAATTCCTGCTGCAATTCCGAAGAAAGCAAGCATGCAAGAAACTCCACCCATTTCGTGTGCAAAACAGCCTTCGAACAAGGCTGCTTTCATAAGATAAACGACAAGGTCTGGACGACTTCTATTCGGATTGCTATAGGACTCAGTATAGTGGCCTTTTTCCAGGTTTTGGGCATGATATGCGCCTTCTATTTGGCCAAGTTGCTTCGCTGGAGCAAGTCATTGCTCGCAGTTTCTCGCTGGAACTTATTCAATGAATTTAATACTAACGAGTAATAAGATATAGGGGTTACGTTGAATGTTAAAGCAGTTTTTTAATTTGTTAAACAACGTAAAATGAAATAAACTTGGGATCCTAAGACTGTTTGCGCAATTCCTTGGCGAACTTATTGAGCAATCGCAACTGTTCCACAATGCTACTACTGGCGGTTCCCCCGATCGCATTGTACTGCTGCACATTGTTGGAGTAATCGGCCACACCAACGATATCGGATCCAAATAAAGGGCTAAAGGCCTGCAGTTCGCCCAGGGGCAAATCAGTAATCTCCACACCTCTTTTTTCAGCCTCCGAAACCACGCGACCGATAATGTGATGTGCTTTACGGAAGGGAATGCCCTTCTTGACCAGATAGTAGGCCTGAAAGAAAAAAGGGAAAGTATTTGTAATTCATAACTTTAATTCAATTTTTCTGATCAGCTAATTAACACATTTAGTTTGTGAAAAATAAACAATAATCTTTATAATTTTCTACATTTTTTTTTAAATTTTTGCAAAGCGAAGAACTACAAAATTGAAATTACTTACTAGAACAAATAAAAAACCAAGATTAAATAAATATTATAAGTTTACACATTTTTAAATAAAATCAAATTTAAAACTTGAAATAATAAAGCAAATTTAAATTTACTTCTGGATGATTAAAACTATTAAAATTTTATAATTAAAAGTTAAATGTTCTTTAAATGTTATTTATACATTTTTCTACTTTTTCTAAAATATGAATATAAATTAATAATATTAATAATAACATACCCAGTCAGTGGCCAACATATCCGTGCTAAGGGCCGCCTCCATCGATTCCTGTTTCACTTCCATCGTCTGCAAAACTCCATTGGTCACTTCCAGCACCTGTTGCAGCTTGTCGAAGGATTGGAAGCCGTACTCCTTGTCAAATTGCAAATCCTTGTTGTAGGTGGAGGGTGTGCCCTTGATGGTCATCATAATACCCGTCAGATTGGAGGTGATCACTCCGGCCATCCCGCGAATCAGCTCCAAACTGTCCGGGTTCCTTTTCTGGGGCATCAGGCTGCTGCCACTGGAAAAGGCATCGGCCAGTCGGATGAAATCGAACTCCTTGGTGCTGTAGATGATCAAATCCTCGGCCAGGCGAGACAGATGCAGGCTCACCATGGAGCAACAATAGATGAAGTCAACTGAAAGAGTGAATTTCCGTTTAGGTAAAAGTTCTAGTAAGCTTAGGTCCGTTTTCTCGTCCGTTTGTTAAATTTAAAGTAGGATTAAAACTATGATTTTCCATACGATTTCAAGGTTTTAACCCTACTTTAAATTTAACAAACGGACGAGAAAACGGCCCTAAGTTGCTGAAAACAATGAATATTTTTTTAATTAACTAAAAATTTGTCGAAATTTTTGATGAAATTATCTAAAATATTATACACATTATAGCTTACAATATTTATATTGCCTAATCTTATAATATAAGGGATGAACATTTAAACTGCGAAGTTATGGTTGATTAAATTGGGGGACTTTGGAGTTCAGAAAAGGTGCTTTTTTGAACAGTAAAATCATTCCTAAGGACCTAATATTAGTTGATTTATTTTTCATTTCCTGGATTTATTTTAAAAAGTAGTAGGAACCTACTAAAAATCTTTTCTTTAAAAATAATGTTTAGTTTGCCATATAAACAAAGTAAATAGACCAGTCTTTAAACAATCTACAATAAATGCGTGATTACATTTTTAAAAAGAAGAATAAAATTTTTTACATTGACCGCAGACAATATCTTTAGATTATATTTAAAATAAATTTTTTGATCAGATCGGAATTGTGGGAAATAAATCGAGAAAAGCTGAAAAAACCAAATTTTTGTTTTAAATTTGAAGCAATTGAATTTATTAGCCCTCCTTATCAGCGTCTCGCCTGAAAAATAAAATGACTGGCAGTGCGCGATAAGAAATCAATCGAGCCCAAATTGCAGTATCAACGACTTTGAAATGACTTAAGTGGGCGTTCCTCCGACAGAATTTACTCACCCACAAAATCGCGGTCTCCCACGGCGTGCATGCTGTTGGCCGTGACGCCAGAGAATCCCAGCCTTTCGGCCAGCCACAAGCGATCGATGCCGAGGGGATTCCCGGCCAGGGCGCCACTTCCCAGGGGCAGAATATTAGAACGATCCCTCAGCTCCACCAGCCGCTGAGCATCCTCCTTCAAGGCGAAGGCGTGGGAGAGCAGCCAGTGCGAGAACTGGACGGCCTGGGCCCTCTGTAGATGCGTGTATCCTGGCATAAGGACGCCCAGGTGGAGTTCCGCCTGCCGGGTGGCTGCTTCGATGACTCCACTCAGACGCCCCAACGTCTCACGGATGGCCTTGCGAAGCCAGAGCTTCATGTCGGTGACCACCTGGTCGTTCCTGCTCCGCCCCGTGTGAAGTCGCTGGCCCAGTTCGCCGGTGATCTCCACCAGCAGTCGTTCGTTGACCGTGTGGACATCCTCGTCGCCGGGCAGGAACTTCACCGTTCCCTCGATCCAATCGAATCGCAACAGCTCCAGATTCTTCACCAGCTTATCGGCCTCGGCTTCGTTCAGGTGTCCCGCTCTGTGGAGCGCCTCTGCATACGCTTTGCTGGCATCCAGATCATCCGCATACAAGCGGGAATCGTAGGGCAGACTATTGTTGAGCGACTGGAGTGCTTCGTGGGGCTTCTCGCTGAAGCGTCCACCCCACAACTTATAGCAGCTCTCGGTGATCTGGGACATGATGGAACCGATTGGCTTTAAAGTTGGATGACTACTAGCCCAGCTCACGAATACAATACACAATTGTGTCGTATAGCAGTGTTATCTTTGAAAATAATATGTGGCTCAGTTTTTATATGATTAGGGCACGTCATAAGCGAGAATCTCTCTGTAAGAACAGTGGTTTAAATTATAATTATGGTAAAAATAATTAAAAGAACCCAAGAATAAAGGTAGGGATTGAATTATAAAATAGAGAAATAAAGGAATGCATGAAATATGTTTTAGATCTTCGCCAACACATATTATTTAAAGAATTTAACAATTTAAAGTGAAAGTTCACAAAGTCAAAGTTACATTATAACAAAAATTTCTCAATTATGTATAAAAAATCCACAGCAATTGACCACTGTGCCTTGCTCTCTCCTAAGCAATTTGATTTTCAGCTCGCTGTTATATGATTTTTATTTTTAATTGACTTGGGCTAAAAAAAAAACAAATAGGAGATATAGCCGCTTATCAGCCAAGATTAAAATCACCAGAGCGTGTGTAGCCTCTGACGCTTGTTGCCGCATAAACCCCATACAGTTAGGTTGAGAAAGAAGCGTCGTTGACACCTCGTTTATGAGGAGAGATCCTCCAGAAAGAGCTTGTTTAGTTCGCAGCACAGCCGGTGAAGGGGTAGTCCCATCACACAGTAAAAATCGCCATCGATCCGGTGAATGAGAGCACCTCCAGGTCCTTGGACGCCATAAGCACCGGCTTTATCTCTGTGGTGGAATAATTTAAATTAACCAATGGAATTATCTAGTATTTAAGTAGCTTACAGGGGATCTCCGGAATCTACATAGCTTTGAATTTGTTCTGGCAGCAGGTCACCAAAGTATACGTCCGCTGTATCCGTAAATTTGCGAATTCCGTAGGCATGTTTAAGGATAACGCCGCTAAAAACGCGATTAGAGGTTCCAGATAAACTGAAAGAAAATATAAAGTTTGGTGGAGGTATAAAAAGGAAATCTAATAAAGGGATAACATTGTGATAGTTATATAATATTTATGAAATAACTATAATAACTATAATTACTATTATAATAACTATATAACTACATATAAAGAACCTAACTTAGTTGTAGATAGGACTGTTTTTCGACCTTATGTTTAACTAAAAGTTAATTTTTGGGCCAGAAAACGTATAAAAATTTAGAGTTTTCAGTTTGAGAATGAAAAATTGTACTAATTTAGCTATATATAAAAAAGATATAAAGTTTAATTTAAAAGGAAATACTTATTACTTGGTAAGCATGCGAACTGCATCCGCGGAGTCCTTGGGCTTTCCGTAAATCTCCTTCCCCAAGGTCACCATCGTATCTGCAGCAATCACAATCAAGTTCTTAGAGTCCCCAGAGGAACTCAGTCTCGAGAATACTTCCTCCGCTTTCCCCAGAGCCGTGGCCTCTATGTAATCAGAGAACTCCTTGAAGTCCTTTACGTCTAAATCCTCCTCAAAAGTGGAAGGACACAATTCCGCATTGAGACCCTAAAAATAAAAGTTTTTATACTGTCCAAACTTTTAAAGGTTTTTGATTTCCATTGTAACTCACCAACATTTTGACCAGTTCCTGCCGCCGTGGCGATCCACTGGCCAAAACAATGCGATAATTCCCCAGTAAATGCTTAATTGGCGCCAACATTATAACTAAATTTTCAATTTTATTTATAAACAAAAACCATGTGTAATAAAGATGGAAAATAAACGATAGCAAGCGATAGCACAGAAATCGAAGAGCCGAGACGCAATCCCATGTAACTGAAAAGCAAAGACACATACCGATAGCTCTACCGACTATTTCGTGGGTGGGTCTAAAATATCGATCAATTTTAGTACATTTTTAATTTTGGCGGTTAAACTTTAAATGATAAAATAAAATTTAAGATCTCGTCTAAATTCAATATTTACCGACATCAAATCATTTTATAACCGGTTAAATATCAAAACAGAATCACATCCTTTGTAATACATTTGCATTTTATTCAATACAAGTAGAAGATTAAGTTCTATAATACGTAATAATCTCAATCACAAAAGAGATTAATTATATATAGCTACATATATATAGGATTTACTTAGGCGACTTATAAATATGCAAGTGGCTAACTTAGTGACGGAAAACCAGAGTAGAATAGTGAGTGCGCCCTATTAGTGATGACTTTATAATTGTACAACCTAGATTTAATTACAAACTATAGTAACATATCTAAATTATATCTAGGTTTGGTATTTGTACAAAAGGAAACGAAACCTTTCGGGGATATGGGGGAGAATTGAACTACATAATTCCAAAGGACCGACGACATACAAAATAGGCTTATGGAAATGGTAATGGCAATGCTAGCATAGCTTATGGTGATTATTTTAAATATATACAAAAGCTATCTATGTACATTAAGAGTCTATCCATCTGTGTCTATTATTGCGTCTTTGTCTCGGCGGATCTCTTGGAGACCCCATCACTCGAACTCTCCGTCGCTGGGTCCTTGATCTCGGGCATCAGTTCGCCCACGGCCAACTTATTTGGCAAAGCTTCGGGCGTGTTGATAATGCCATAGGGTCTCAAATGGTAGATCAGATAGTCCAGCACGTACATTTGATTCGGCGAGACGTAATGGAAGGATATGGCATTGTCGGAGCAGCAGTCAAGACCCTGAAATACAAAGAAATAGTTAGTAATCGGAGTAGTTGGGTAATTAAAATTATACACCCAAAAAAAAAAATCGAAAGTGGTAACTTTCTAAGCGTTGCATTAAAAATATACTAGATTAGTAATTAATGTGATTTTTTTTAGATTTTTATGTCAATCCGTTCTGGGTCGAATTTGCTACTGACTGTTTTTTAGGGGTCGAACTTTATAATAGTTTAGATGTAGTATACAAAAGTGGTATTGACCTAATACTAAATAATACAAATTCTATACTCAGTAGTATTAATTTCATATGAAATATTGTAAACCTAATATTTTGTAGTTTCATTTCTATACCGAAAGTTTCAATTTAATACTTTTGAAGGTATTAATTTAATACTCATCTTATTGATGCAAATTTGAAGTGTAGAATTCATGTAACAATAGTTTCGTTTCTATGTCTATTTTTTTTGGGGTAGGTAATAATTACAATAATATTTTGAAATCTTAAAATTAAATTTCCCTTGTGTTCTCACCTCATCGGTCTTGTAGAAGATGTACTGCCAGTACCAGAACTTCTTGTCCGTGTGCGATGGAATCAGATGATGTTCCGGGACGAATGGAAAGAATCGCCCGCGACCGTTTGAATCTCGGGAATCCCCGGCGAGAACCTTGACATTCTGCAGGCACTTGCCAATCTCCACGTCCTCGGCACCCGTGTTATCCGCCTTGCAGAGCTTGGGATTCGGCAGGGCCTCGACCACAAACCGACGCACTGCCTCCCGGCTGAGAACGTAGCCGGCACCGCCGGACATGTAGCCCTGTTTCACATACGGCTTGAACTTGCAACCGAAATAGACGGGCGTTTCCGGATTGTACGGGTAGAGCATGTAGCGCATGTTCTCCACTATCGTGTAGGTGTCGTCGTCGGCCTTCAGGAACCAGTCGGCGTCGTTGATGTGATGCTCGTAGATATACTTGTAGGCCTCCTTCGTCTTGCCCCACAGATTGTTGCGACCCTCGCCCACCGGCAAGGCCACCGAGTCCAGCTCGGCGTCCTTTTCGGAGCTCATGAAGATCAGCTTGTTGCACCGCTTGCCCCAGGTGCGCTTCACGTGGCGCGCCTTCTTCTGGTGGTTGCTCGGATTGGTCATGATCCAGCAGAGCACCCGCACCTCGCTGTACAGTCGCTCGGCAATGGTCGAGTTCTCGTGCACGTGCTCGTGCCCGCCCACATCCTGTTCCGGCCCCGACATCTCCATCATGTCGTGGCTGTGATGGGCGTCGTTCACATCGCCGTGTCGGTGGCCATCGTAGGGCATGAACTCACTCCGCTCCGGCGTCGAGGAGTAGACGAACAGCTCCGCCAGGCAGAAGCCCACGATCAGGCCCACAATCAAAGACACGAACGATCGCTTGTTCGAGCGGCCTGCGGATAATGAAGGTCATTATTATATGCAGAAAAATATTTGAACTGTATTTAAAAATTCAGTAATTTTTTATTTCCGGTTAAATTAGGATAGGATAGGATAATATTTCTGGATGTCTAGAAATTAGATTTTTAAAATTACCGAAATCGAAATTTCTTCAAGCTCTAATATAATTATCAATTGTGGGATTTAAAAAACCTACAAACAAAGAAATACAAATACTAAAATATTTGTAGGAAAGGATAATATTTATGGATGACTAGAAATTAGAGCTTGAAAATTATCGATATTTCCGATATCCTGACCAATATTGATTCGATAATATCGATGTTTTAAAAAGAAATCACAAATTAAATATCGAGAACTAGCAAACGGTCGATATTTGTTCAAGCTCTAGTAGAAATAACCATTAAGCTTTGAGAAAAACTATGTAGGATTTTTAAAAAATTTATTTTAACTGAATATTAAAAATAAAAATACAACTTCTACTCACCTTCATTAAGTATGGACCTTCCTAGCAGACTGTTGGCAGTCATTTGGCTTTAGTTTTCAGTTTTCTGGTTTGAAGATGGAAGGAACTCAGGAACTTCAGACTGAGTGTTGGCAAAAAGCCGTTTTTAAGGACTGGCAGCTTCTTTGGTTGCGTTTCTTCAGCTGGGAAATCCGCATCGGCTTCTCCTTACATTTTCTGCAATGGCAAAGATAAAATTTGAGCTTTTAGCCACGTGTGTATATAGAATATCGCGGTTTCGTCGGCGTTTTTCGGTGCGCATCTGCACGCGGTCATTAGTGTCAACTATCTGAACATGGAGCTGGTTGGTTCTGCTCGGATTGGCTCGCCTGCGCTCGGTTTGGTCGAACTGTGCTAATCTCATGCAAAACGTGACAATTGCCTCCGCTCGTAGTTGCATTCTGCAACAGCCGCCAAGAGTCGTTGCTGATAAATATTTATTTCAGAAAGCATTTAAATTTTTTTTATTATTTACTCTTTTTGAATTTTGCACGTGGCTTTGTGTGTTTACGAGATAACTGCAAAACGTTGGCTTTTCGGCATCCGTAAACATGGCTAAATTGGCAGAGTTTTGCTATTTTCGAGTTTGTGTCATACAAATAGCGGAATACCTTTAGATATGGGATCCTAAGAATTTTTTCATATTTATTTTGCAAATAGAAAAGCAATTACACTTTTGACACTGTAATAAAGATAATTTATTTTCGACATGGGTTGGCTTTAGTTTCACACATTTGTTTAGTTAGGAAAGAGCTTAACGAGTAGAGAACCAATATTATAGATCTTTTTTGGCTGGTGTCGTTGAACTCAGCACTCATTTAGTATTGGTTGCATAATTAATGTTAATTAATAAACTATCTTTCAACTAGAAATCGATTATTGAGTGATTTAGAAATTAACGCTAATTAAACTGAAAAACTTTTAAGCACTCATTTTATATATTGTTTTCACTTTCATGTGCTCTATTTACTTTTATTAAAAGAATGATTTCACTTAATGACTGAAATAAACTTTATTTTAGTTGTATCAGGTTCGTTTGATTGATCAACTCTATAACGTCACACTTGTTAGATCAATTAAATCTTTGATTTGAGCATGAAGATCTCTTTGTTTGTTTTCGGCGCAGTCATTGTTTAGCAAATCTTTTGTTTAGCACTTACTAAATAATTTTGTTTGCATGAATAAAACAGTACTATTGGTAATAATAAACAGCTGCGACAACAGAGTGTGGCTAAAAACAAATCAAAACCGTCTGCAGCTCTGAACCCGAACGAGTCGACACTCCGTGAATAAATGCAGCCAGAAAACTGAAAAGCAGAGTTTTTTAAGCAATTTACAATTGCATTTTCCGCCAGTTCTCGGTTTTGTTCTCTCTTGTTTTTGTTTCGCTGCAGTTTTGAGTTATCAGTAAGAGTAAAGAAAAACCAAAACAAGGGACCTTGTAAGTGCATGTATGCATATAATAACATGGGCATTTTGATAATTGATTTTTTGGTGAATCACATGGTTTTTGTCCAATATCATGGACGTAGCTTATCATTCAGCCACTACTTAGCGCTATCAGACACAAAAACCACTACTCCTTATCGCCAAACTTTCCTTCGTTGGTTTTTAATAACATTTGTGGGTCAGTTTTCGTCATCGCGATAGGAATTCGTACTATTGATCTATTAGCTAAATTGCTTTCGAGGAATTGCCCTTATCAATAGAAACATACTTCAAGTTTTCCATGGCCCGAATGATATAGTTATCTTAAGCTTGTTGAGGTTTTTTTTTTCTATCTATAGCATTGTTAAGATCAGAGACTAAATATTACAAGGGTTCTTAATTGTTTTAAGAAAACAAAAGGTAGAATCCATGTATACAACTTATCTGAAGAATTGCCAATTCTTTTCGTTTCCGTGTCTTTTATTTCCTTGTACTCTCCCATTATTTCCAGAGCTCACTGTACGTTCGGATGGCTTAAACATTGTAGACGTAATTTCTGTTTGATCAGCCGGTTGCTTTTTAGAACTCGATATTTCAATTCGACTTTATTCCTCATTTTAAATTCAGTCATCAAAGTGTGAAGTGTGATAAAAAAATGATATCATCTAAGTTTCAACTGCCTTTCGCCACAGCCAAAGGTCCGTAGAGCTTAAATATTGTATTCACGAATTAATTGAAATATTCTACGCATTTCAGTGCCATCAAGTCAATTGATTTTGACCATTCTCCTGGGTTTACTGGTGTTTTTCGGCCTGGCTAAACTCGTGTCCATTCCGCTGCGCATCGATGACTTCGACAGCTTCAGATTGAATCCCACTCAGGAGGCGCAATTAGCAGTCAAGGATTTGGAAAATCTGAGATAAACCCCTGAACCCAGCAATCAGCAATTGCAAATTGTTGTTGTTTTGTGGGAATGCAATTCCAGCATGTGTGGGTGGGCGGGTAGAGACCTCAATGTTTGCCCGAGTTGCCTGGCGAAATTGCAATTGTAATTGCAAATTAATTAAATTTAGGCATGAACAACATGTCAGATCTCCAGTGCCGTTCCAATTCAATGTACAATTGTACAATTAAACGCAATTTTACAGCATGTTTGCTTATCACTCACTGTAGACGACTGAGCAGATTCAACTGCATTCTGGATGCTTGATTTGCGTTGAAGCAAACAAAAATTCACGATTCATGGCAAATATTTTATCTACAAATTTTCTAATATTAGACCCAGTGCCAACCTAAAAACAACTATTCTTCCATGCACTGCAGCTGCCAATTGAAAAATTAGTAGTTGTATAAAAAAGAAAATTATATAATCACATGTAGTTCAGTAACACGAATGCGAACGTGTCTATAATTCATCCCGTCTAGCAATCTATTTTAGTGTTCCACTTGATATCTATGGTGATTAGGTTTATTCATACAATTACGCTGCCGTGTCGTTATCATTGAAAATTTAAATTTAGTTTAATGGTGTATTCAGATAACGAAATAGATAATATAAGTTTATGACTACAGAAGGAAACCAAATAAAAGCTACCTTGAAGAGATAATGGAAAGACAAATTTTGTCGGATTGTAAAATTTATAAGCGTCATCAAATTATAGTGCTCGCGACATAAAGTGTATTATCTAGCATAACATGAGATAGATATAAAATAAGTTAGCACCATGTTAAGATAGCTTAAAAGACAACAGATGAAAACAAAAATAAATTTCCATTACCTACAAATTAAAAATACTGATGAATAAATAAATTGTCACATATAACTAATTACATATTTAGTATCTAGAAATCAAACAAAATTTAAATAAAGTATTTATTGTTTTATAGTGACAGCAATTTCGTTTTCAGTTACGCGTAATGGAGCATCTGTTAGTCAAAATTCCGTTAAAATTAATTTATTATTATGTCATTCACTTAATAGTGAATTTGCCCTATACTCAAACTGGCGTGACTGTCTATTCATCGCGTTCCGAAAAAAAGAGCAAAAGACCAAACCAGAACCAGAAACCAGACCAATTGTAAAATTGTTTTGTTAGGCCGCTGTTCATCTGCGGTCAATAAAATCAGCCACGCTCTGCGATCCCGCAAATATTTCAATTCAGTGGATGTTTTTTATTTTTGGAGCCAGTACTCTGTGGCTCTCGCTTTATTTTAATTCACTTTCAGTAACTTCCCTTTCAGATAAACTACTCGTACAATAGATGGCTGCTGTGCTTATCAACGTGGAACTGGACTGAGGGAATTGTTATCAAGCACAAAGAAGAAATATGGCTTGGCTGGCATCCGTTCATTCACTAGCTATGGCCACATATGTATTTATAAAAATATGTTTTTATTTTTTTTTATATCAAGAACGCTTGTTGATGACTAATCAATGACTAATCGTTTCAGATAAAGACGCAAGGAGTGATCTATACAACAATGTTTTTATATTAATTATTTGCATAATTTGGCAAACTTTTAAATTCAAGTTTATAGAATTCCTTTGTCAAACCTTAAAGATAACGTTTTTTTTCACCACAACATATTAAAAATATATATCGTATGATAAAAAGAATCAGTGAACCTTTGGGGTGCACATGCCTGATAAGCCTGAATTTCAATATAATGAATCAAACCAATTAACCGAATAATATCTTTAAATAATGTGAAATTTAATGTTTATTATAGTTGCTTCTACTTAATTGACAACTTATCTATAACCGTTGTCAGGCAATAATAACATTTTATTTCTGTCTCAATAAAAAAAATACAATACTGTAGACGGCGATGTAGGTTCAGAAGGAAAGTCGGAATCCGAGTTCTTAATTAAATATTGATTAAAAATCGTTGCTGATAGATAATTGATTGCTGATTGATGAATGCGGTCTAGGTCTATTCAGCTAATTCTTACGTCAAATGGCACGAGTTGAGGAACCATTGAAACATATTCTACAGTTTAGCCGCAGGGCAGCGCTTGTTTAAGGTTAATGGGTCATCCCATTCAAATACAAATTTTTGTGTTAACAATCCACCTTTAATTTGAATAAATCAAGATACACTTTTAAAGTGTAAGCTTTAACACCCACTTTTGTAATATTACTTGCCCTTGAGAAAGAAATATTTCAAAAATTATTTATCAGATTTGATAAGAGGTTCAAGTGAGCTGACAATAAATAGCCAGGCGTTGGAAAATTATCTCTCTTGACAGTTTAATTGTGTCTTTTATCAGGAAGTCCGTCTATCTTTTAAAAAATTCTTTCTTTGTGAGCATATGTAGAAAATATATAATATAAATGTTCGATTTACAAAATTTCGGAAAATAATATTAAATCAGGGAATCATCCCTGTACTATTTCAAACATAACTCATTAACGAAAGAAAACATTTGGTTTCTATCAGATTAATATATGAGATTAGTTGCAGTTCTAAAACAGGGGGTTTGCTGACAGATGGTGTTTCTAGTATAGAAGTCCGATTGAATCACCCTACCCGAAGAACAGAAGTCTGCAGCGTAAATACAAATGCCCGCTTCCCTTATCAATTGCAGTTGAATTTGAATGGCAATCACGGGGTGCAATCTGCATACGAATTATCCGAGCAACAACAGCAACAACAGGGGGCTAGGCTAATCAGAGAGGCGACAATACAAATGCACAAATGCACTCTCACGAGATGCAGAGAGAGGGAGAATTGGAACCACAAATAAATTAAAGTAAATGCACTTTGGAAGCAGGCAATTCACCCCCCGGGCGGGGGAGGGACGCATAACGGAAATGACAACTAAGAGAGCCGGAGAGCGAGAAGAGAGTAAAGTGCAGCTGCTTTTGGGAATGTCATGTCATCGCATTAAAAATACAAAGCAACAACAACAAACAGGATAAGACACCACGAATTCGAAAGCCACTTCTCGCCCATCAGGGTGTTCATTTGTACTTAACAAGTACTAAAGTAACACATGGTTTCGATAAAAGAGTAGCCTCTAGCCTCTATCACTTGAATGTGTCGACTCTCATTAGGAATACTCTTGAAATTTCACATTCCACTCAAGATAAACAAATTAAAATTAATAATATAGCTGAAAGTATTTTTAGCTCATAAATTTGTAGGATTTATTGCTTGACGTGCGAAATTTATCTTAAATCATTAAAATACTATACTATAGATCATAATTTTCTGCTTAGAAAACCATGAAACTTAATTTTATGTTATTGGTTACCCGATTTAGTTCAGTTCAGAAGCTTGAACATATTTTTTTGTTTTTGATTTTTTGTTTGATTTTAGATTGTTTTTAGAATGGTATAAAAAAATAATTCAATTTTAAAAAAACTTAATTTTGTGTTGAAACTTTTTCTAGTACTCTTGGCTACGTTAACCTATATCCTACAGCGAAGGGGCTTAGAAAGTGAGAGTGGCCGAACTGGAAGAAGCGGCGATTCTTCCTTCCACTTCCTTCTGCTCGTTTTCAGTTGCCATTCCATTCCATCCAGTTGGAAACCAATATATGTATATATTTTTGGCGTTACTCTTTAGATGTTTAAACTTGTTCGTTTTTTTTTATTTTGTTTTTACTCGCACTCTTCATCCTCTTTGGCTTTTTCATGGCACGTTGTTCTGGCACCTTTATACATATTCGTAGCGCTTTTTGTATTGACACAAAATGCAATTTGTGCTGACCAAATGGGTTTGCCTCGCAGTCACAGGTAAATTCCATTGCCACTCGCTTTTCATTTTACTTGATTTAACATCTTTAATATTTTCTGGCGCGGCGTCCGTTACTTACGAATTGATTTTTTGCACAATTGCTCACGCGTTTCTCCATCGCAGGACGCTCGCAAAAGTTTTTGTTGTTTTATTTCGATTGCTCTCACGCTTTTCACATTCACTTAATTGCTGTGTTAGACTCGAGGCACTCGAAATATTTAATTAATCTTTAATGTTATTTTCCGCCCCTTTTTCTTTTTTTTACATCCGACATAAATATAACAAGCGAACGCGTCGAGGAAACAAAAAAAACTGCCGCGAAATTTAGAATTGTCCACTTGGAATCGAGAAGAGAGAGCTATAAACCATTAAGGGAGCGCCGAAAGCCATTAAGAGAGCGTTGAGAGTGCTTTCACTCTCTCTTCGTTCTTTTCGTGGGCGGGGGGTGGTAAGGGCGTCATGACAAAATTGCCGGCTATTTCTCTTTAGAACCGGCTGCAGATTTTCTCGAGAGAGGGAGAGAGCCACAGAGCGCTGATAAAGTAGCCGATTATAACAACTACTATTATTTGATTATTTGTAAACATTATAAATACATATTATGTGTATGTGACTTTTGATTTATTATTCGCTTATCTCTCTCATTAATCGTTCTTTGCTTACTACATTTAACACAACAGCTGTTGGGAACCAAATACATATCAGGGGTTTGGTTTTAGGGGTTGCAGTTTCCAAGCTGAACGATCTCTTAAAATGGAACTCTGAGATTCTTAAGATATCTTTCTTATCCTGAAAATATACTCAAATACAATAAAGAAAGGTTTTAAGACATTAAAACCAAACCTTGAATTTAAGATTAACGTCATTTATAAAGATTGCAAATCAACCGTTATTAAGATAATCACAAAAAACATGTTTATTTATTCAATGACACATATCATGGTAACCGCAATTCCAGAAAGCTAAACCTTAGCACAGTCGAACTTCATTAAATCCAACCACACTGTTTTTTAAATTTAAAATTAAAACTGTTTTCTCAAGGTTATCAGATTAAACAAGAGAGAACGCTATAGTCGGGTGTCCCGACTATCAGATACCCGTTACTCAGCTAAAGGGAGTGCGAAAGAGATGGAGAAAAACTTTGATCCGCCGTAACTTTTTAACGAATGGTCCGATTTAAAAACTTTCTTCTACATTTCGATAGGTATTGATAAACACAATAAAACTGCATTTTTAGTTTTCCAAAATATTGAAATTTTTAAAATCGTATATAAGCGATTGTGGGCGTTATAGGGGGCGTGGCACCGTTTTGAAACAAACTTGCGCTGCGTAGGAACTCCTAGAATCTGCATGCAAAATGTCAATCTTCTAGCTTTTATAGTTTCCGAGATCTCAGCGTTCATACAGACAGACAGACAGACAGACAGACAGACAGACAGACAGACAGACAGACGGACAGACAGACGGACAGACAGACGGACAGACGGACATGGCTAGTTCGACTCGGCTAGTGATCCCGATCAAGAATATATATAGTTTATAGGGTCGGAAACGCTTCATTCTACCTGTTACATACTTTTGCACGAATCTAATATACCCTTTTACTCTACGAGTAACGGGTATAAAAATCTTCATCACAAATTCCTGGATTCCTCGATTCTTAAGAAAAAGTATGAAACAAATTTAACAGTAGGTAAGCTATTAAACAAAAAATGTCCGTGATAAAATAATAAATATGTAGTTTCTGAAAAAAGTTTACTAATAAAGGAAGTAAGTTCTCGCTAGAATATGATTTATACAAGAAGTCAACTTACAGGAATACTACTGTACTTTCTAAATGAGTAATTATTGACCTTTCCAAAGAACGTATTAATTGTTTCGATTAGACTGTAATTAAACAAGTTATAAGCGCTAACTCGTTAAGAAATGTTTTTGTTTGATTCGTTATCTACATCAACAACCGGCTTCTGTGATGCTACAGACTTAATATTTTTCATAATTTGAATCAAACCTGAATAGTTAACATGTTGATTATCTACAGACTGAATTCCAGCGTAATAAAGATAAGTTATATATTTTTAACTTCAGAATACAGTACCGGAAAGCTATTGACGACTGCTGAACTCAATAAATGTTTATTGAATGTGCTAGTTGCGTGTTTCAAATAATTGCCCGATGTCGATCATTTAAGATAAGATATAAGTGCATAAGTTCTTTTGTACACACCAGTATGACAAATTTGATAAGGAAGAATTTGCACTGTTAATTAGTCGAATATATATAGGCGTTCCATAGCGCTTAAATAGCCTGGAGTATTTTTAACAATTTACAATTTTCTAATAGTTTTTTAGGGTTATGATATAAGAATATTAAATAATAAATAAAAGGATGATGGTACAAGTTAAATTTGTTGGATACCGTAACGATCATACTCCATCAAGTTTAGATAAAAAGCTAAAAACTTCTCTATAAAAATAAAATAAATATATATAAAATTAAATAAATTAAATAAATTAAAATAAATTTAAAATTCAAAAACCTTACCTTGAAATTTTACTTACATCTTACACACTTTTTACAGAATTCTACGAAGTGTAGATCAGTCGATGTTGCCACCTTAGTTTTGTAAACGTCAGCTTCTGTTCCTCGACAGTTTTAACGATATTTCATTTTGAATCGTTAACTATTTTTTTCCAACATGCTATTTAATCCAATTTCGTTAAATACTTTGCATATTTATTTATTTATTTTGTTCATTACATTTTAGCTTACTCTAATGAAACTATGTTAATCGGATAATCCAAGGCACTTTGTTTACGCTGTTCAATTTAGCGCAATAAACCAAAAGACTAGAAAGTATACTAATTCATTTCTGATGACAATGTTATTTTCCATTCATTTATTATGCCAACTGCAGGCATACATTTCGTGTAAATATTTGAATTACTCCCGTGGCCAAATTGGGAAATAAAATAACAAGCCACACACAAAAGGGGCTAAATAAGCATTGACTGTCCGACTTGTGTGTGAATTAATCTAAAATAACTAGAATCAACAAAATTGTTTTCTGTCCTGAAATTAGAGCCAATGGAAAAAATTCTGATCATGATTGCGCCATCGGCCAAAAGGCTGTCAATGAAAGTAATGAATACCAATTTAAAAGAAAAATCAGAAATTTTGCATTACAAATGTGTCAGTAAAGAACGTCTTTTTAATTTATTTTTCCTTTTTAAATAAACGGTTTTAAGGTCAACAAAAAGATATATAAATTGAGAACTATTTATAATCTTAGTAAGTACCTACTAAAGTTATCGCTTAAAAATACCTTTATCTACAATTATTTGTACACAATATACATTTTATAAATTTTTTTTCGTATATTCCTAATTTAATCCAGTATTTGTAGACTTTGAAATGCTTGCGTCTTAGGCTACATTGATATTACAAACTACGAATATTGATAACGAATTGTTCAGACTGTTCATTCCGTGTGTGTATATAATCGATATGGGTATATGGGATATATTATGGCTACTTGAAAAGCTCTCGTTTTGGGGCCGGCCATCACGTTACCACACTCACATGCAAGTATATCACCCGGTAGTTACCTCACTATAAATATCACAATATTATATTAATATTATTGGATTTGAGAGGACTACAGGAAGGAGCAGCACAGGATCAAAACCAGCACCGTGATGGGGAATATGGCGTATATCTCACTGCGCGGATGGCAGGTGGAGATCAAGTTGGTAATATCGTCCGCTTCGTGCTCAATTCCATCCCTCGTGGGCACCTCCACCACGACGATTTCGTCCGAGAGGAAACTGATATTAAAGGTGCAGTCCGTGGTATTCAGACAGCTCTGCGATTCGCTCATGTTGGAGTACTGATACGTCGGCTTGTAGATATCGAATACGGCATGCAACTCGTTTTGCACGTGATCATTGTCACTGTAGAATATGTAGTAGTAGTAGCCATCCTCGATCACATTTTGCAAGACTTTCGCACTCTTATTTGGTGAACTGTCCATTATGAACGGATGGGAGCACTCTTCGTTGGGCTTGAAGAACTCCGTCAGCAGAATCATTCCTTCGAAACAGTCAAAGAGTCCTTTCTCAAAGCTGGACACCGAATTGGATTCATCGGTTTCCGTAAAGTTCATGGCATTACCGCCGTGGATGGGCTTTCTATCGTAGACATTCTCCCTTTTTGTCCTTTTATAGAGTTTCTCGTAGAGCTCCTGCCTCTTCTGATGTCTATGGGTTCCTCCTCCATTGTGTCGCTTTAGGCGTTGTCGATGGGTAGAACTTTCATGAGTTTCACTAGAATTCTGATCTCTATGATCTTCGTTTTGTAAGTGATTGGAACTGTGACTAGTTTCATCAGTTGTGGTTTTCAAACTGGGATCAGGATGTTGAGGAGCTGCATTCGAGGAGTGATTATGATGATGTCCCTGAGAATTTGCGCTGTGCTCATGATGATTTAAAATGTGTTCTGTATGATGTGATCCCTGCAAATCTGTGGCTACTGCGTGCAAATTGTGATCATCATGGTGGATTGTGCCCTTCTTGAGTTTCTTCCTAAACATTTTCGGCTGTGTCGAAACGTTTTCTTTCAGTGACACATTCAACTGAGGCTGCGGGGCATCCTCACTCAAGTCCTCGCCACCATGATTCTCGTGCTCCATTACAACATCCTGATTGCTCTTCTCCTCCGTGATCTCCACATTGTCTTCGAAGAACACCTGAACCTGTTCATGTCCCTTGGCATAATTGGCGCCCAGCTTGTTCTTATTGTGATCGGTCAGGCCGCAGAGATTTAGCTCCCTGTGGCCGTGGACAATCAAGATACGTGATCCATCGTAGCGGGAACAGAACTTTACATTCACTTTGGCACCTTTCAGCAGGAAGAAGCCCCAGTATTCCAGGGTATCGTCCGGCAGGGTCATGGACTTCTTCAGCCTGATGTGCTTGCGACTCGTCGCGATCTCTGGTTTATTGCGAAGTTGAAATGCGTTGAAATTCGAGTTCATTCGCAGGGTGTGTTTCGAGCAGAAGATGGACGAGATCCCAGCCCGAATCTCGATAATATCCGACTCCGCCATGGGATAGACGACATCCGCAAACACTGTCTTTCGCAGATGCAGTGGCATAATGATAAGTATGGCCGGCAGTATCACAATCATCAGGCAGAAGATCAGCACCCTCTTCACTCCGTGCATTTTGCGGGTTTCTGCGAAAAGAGGTAGAGAGAAAGATAACGATTAGTATCTCGTGATATATACATTTCTATATCTTTTTTATATGGCCTGACGGGGCACCTTCAAAGTGATATTCCGTTAAGGGCTGCATCTTGGCGGCTAAGGATTTCCCTCTTTGCTGCGAAATAATTTTTCTGCGACTACGTCTGATTCCCAGCCAGGTTTGTTGTACACTGTCTGATTGTGCGATTATCAAATTAGTCTGGGCGACTGGGACCGGCACATTTTCACGCCCCCCTCCCACCCGCCTTACACCTTTATACGGCTGGGCTGAGTATTTGTGAGAGGCGAGATTGTATCAACAATCCGACACGACTATTGATATTGGCCCCGTGTATAACTAAGCTATTCACAAGATTCAATTGGCAGGCTCAGATCGATGGCCAGCCAAGTGACAGCCGCTGTTTGATCGATTTTTAGCGACCCGCGACTCCAGATCATTCCCTCAAACGACTTGGGTTTGCGGAAAAAGATTTGCTTATCGCTGTTAACTTGGCAAAATTTAGAACAGGAGCGGGTCTTTCAAGTAGGGGTGATTAATTAACGTTTAATATTGTATTTACAATATAAAAATATTTAAAGAGGGTCAAGTTAAAACAAAAATCTAAAAATCCAAAAAAAAAATTTAAGGTTATTTTTTTTAACTGTTCTTTTTCGCTCAAATTACTCTCCGATCTCTCATGATTACGCATCGTTTTTGGTACCTTATCGGGAACCTTAGCTAATTACCTCCCGGCTATAGATGCCAACTTTGATAAGCCCTATTTTTCCTTCATGGAAATGATGTTAATACCAGTCGGTTATGATCAGAAATACATATGTGACATAAATATAGTATTTATGGCGCACACGAGTTATTTTTTTATTTGTCACGTTTTTGTCGAGTGCTTTTTGAACCCGACTGAAATGTGCTCAGAGCTAAAAACAATATCATAAACAAATTTCGCTGCTCTCTGCTTATCAACGAAACATGTTATGCACAGACTGTAGGAGAACGCTGAAGAATAACAGAAAAAACCCGCCAGATAACAGATTGAGAGATAAATAAACTAAAGTAATATTATTTACCTTTAAAAAAATAATCTTGGAAAATAAATTATAGCTAGTTTAAATTTAATGCCAGAGATAAGACCTCAATTAATGAATTTAGTAAAGTGGTTGTGCTTTGATTTGATACTCTTTCACTCTGACAAAAATAGAAATTAAATGGCTTTGTATTTACTATCTGCCCTACTTTCTGTTATCACTAATACTATCTGGAGTCGTGTTTTAATATCAATTCAGTATGGCCACCCCTAAAAGGCGCATTGGTAAGTATAATTTCTTTATTTCCATTTCTCTGTATAATTGTCGGTTTTTATTTTCCTTTGTCGGGTTTTCCCGGGTCTTTCCCATGACAAAGACACACATGTGTGGCCTCAGAAAATGGCATAGGTCGCGTATTATTGCGATTTTATTTTTGTTTACATCTTCTTTTTGCATTTTTGACAATGTTCTCTATGATTTCCGTTGCTAAGGTGTGAAAAAACCTGATATGAACACACTGAAACAAATTTTCATTCAATATTAAAATAAAATACTTTAAATTATAAAATGCTTATGTTTTTATCCGTTATATGGTTGCTTGAATCAACAACAAATATTTATTTGAATCGTTTTTGGATTAGATTTATTATGTTTTACGTGTAGTGTGGAAATCCTTGAAAATATCTTAGCCGGTTTTTTTCTGGTTTTGAAAACCATTTGCAGCCGCGACGGAAATGTGAATTTGAAATACAAAACCCGCTGCAAGCACCTGTGGAAATGTTTTCTTGTTTGTTTATTTTAGCGTGGGACTCGAATAATAATTTACACACGTAGCTTTGAATTGTGACCCTTGTGTTGTAGTTGTTGGCACTTACATGCTTCGCTCTTCTGTATCTTTCCTATATTCGCTCTATATCTTTGGGATTAGCGTCGTCTCGAAAGGTGGTGACAAGTGCAATTTTTTTGAGAATTTCACAGGCAGTTGTCGATTTTGTTGTCTTTTCATTTGTTTGGTTTTCTATTTTTTGATTAACAACTAAGTGGCTTTGGTGAGCATATATCCAAAATTAGACGGATGCATTTCGATGAATGTATTTGGGAGCCCCGAAACACATGGGCCGCTTCGGATGTTTTATTATCAAAAACAACTGATTTGTATTTTGACACACATTTTAATCAACAACTGGCTGCCCTCTCTTTTTCCCTGGCTCTCTGCCTTATCGCGACACTCTCCCGCTTTCTCTCTTTTATTTAGCACTTGTTTTTAGCTTCCGCATATCTTTGTTTGTTTTAGAGACACGTCGTGGAATATTTATAAATTAAGGGGCAATTTTAACTGTTACTCATAATATTTTCCCCCATTTGCAGTCGGTTAAATATTTTTATCAGTCATCATTATTACGAAATTTTCACCAGACGCGACCGAGGGAAAACAAAACGCTTCAATTCACTCACAAAGCAACCCAACAAATGAGACGGAAACTGCTGCAATGGAAATTTTAACCCCAAAGAAACACAGACGACGCGATAGCGCAATGCAATACTCTCTGTGCTCTTTGTTTTTAGACTGCACTGCAAAAAATTATAACAATTCAAAATAATAATTAATTTTTAAAACTCTTTATATTAAATGTATAATTATTATTGCCGTATCTGGAAAAAAAGTAAATAAGAGCATATTTTTTTATTTTTAAGCATTTTACTTAAAGTTAGATAATACATTTTTTCTCAGTGTTCGCTCTCAGAGTGTGCTCGCGACTATAGCGGAAGAGAAAAATTGTGCTCGGAAAAATCTCGTTTCGGCCAGAAAATCGTAAGAGAAACGAATTTTGTTTTGAAGTGAAGTTGGCTGCGATAAATGTGTGGGTGGAAAACCGTGCTAAATGTGTTGTTTCAGTAGGTGACGAATCGCGTAATTTTCAAAAAAAAAAAAAATTAAAAAATACGTACAAAAAGTAAATAAAGGTTTGTTTCTTCTTTTAGTCTACTTATAATCTGAGGAAAACCCCAATCTAAACTCAATAACTTTTTAATTAAATGGTGTAACCTACAACATTAGTACCAAAATATGGAGTTTTTCCAAACTAAAGAAAATTTTGTTTCTGAAAATTTCGATCTACTAATATTTTCTTATATTTATTATTATATTTATTTATTTATTTTTTGTTGTTAAATGGGGTTTTTTCTTTATATTATTTATTTTATTTATTCTTTGTGTTCTTTGTTAAATACCTTAATTTAATTAAAAATCATCTTTGAACGAAAACAGTTAAGAACGTGTATATAAAATAAAAAGGCAATCTTTAAGATATCTAATCAAGAAAACATTTATAAAATGTATGTAGGTTGATATAAGAATAAAGTAAGTATCATTGTTACTAAAATAAAATTAGTGAGAGATTGAACAGAAAGTGAAACTCATACTGACATATACTTATTTAGATAACTTTTCTTATTTTCTCTAAGAAACTATGACGTCTTATTTTACTACGCTGAATTGAATTTAAGCTCTATAATTTCAAAGTTGAATCAAAGTACAATAAAGTATTGTCTTTTTGACTTCCTATAAATCTTAATACATTTTTAGATTCCTTCCTTTCATACAGTTGAAGGACATTTCTTAAAGGACTTTATTCTTCAAGAACTATAATCCAGTGTTCCCTAACACTTACTATGCAGATCCGGCATCGAGTAGTAGAAATCCGTGTGATAATAATGCAATTGTCCCGGACTGACTGAGGTAGTCCTGTTGAACATCTTTCTGTTGGGCATCCTGGATATTTAATGTGAATTTTTATAAGGACTAAAGTTGCAGGCGGTGCAGAACCGAAGCTTGTGAATTATCGCGGCGAACTAACGGAATGAATATAATCCGAATCGTGCGAGAGTCAACTGTGGACACTGTTTGGGATAACGATGACGCTTAATCCAAACAGACGTCGGGGGTGCCTGTCCTCATCTGAACTGATACTGTTACTGATACTGATAGTCGCTGTCGGCCTATTATCATAATGAATTAGTAAACAGTGTTAATATGTAGACAAAACATAAACCCAGCCCCAGCCTTTCAATTGATAAGCGACTAATTGTGATTGTTTGCCCGACTTGGCTTTGAACCTGGCCAATTTATCTGACGATTCCAGTTACTCTTGGAAACAGTGGTATATTTAGCACCACCCGATTGATTGGATATTTAATATCTAAGGCAGCGCGCTCCCATTGGGCGAGGTAAAGTTCAGGTTGAAAATAATATAGGACATGTGCAAAAGTCCAATTTCCTGTTTGAAAAGTAATGGCGGCGACGTTTGCCAAACAAACAATGTAATATTCACTAAACCTTTTTTCGTGTTTCATGTTCCGCTGTTCCAGGTAAAACTCCATCAGGTGTTGCTACCTATCAGATACTCAAACAGCTGGGGGACATCTGTTGGCGTCATTTACAAGCAAAGATAAAACTATTTCTTACCGCACTCACCTCAATATCCCCCACTCAAGAGCTCTAGACATCAAATAAATTAAGGATTTATGACACGGTTGTATCTTATCTGCTGCAAAATATTTTATTAGCCAGGTGGAAAGTTTTGCATTAGGAGTGCAGGCTAGATGAGATTCATTGCTCTCAGGTAATTCTGTGGTGACAGATGACACAAAAGTCTGAGCAAGTGACTGCACGGGGGTCTTAAATAATACATCCTTTAACCTTATGATATTCTTACAGATGACTTTCGCTTCAATAGGACACTTTGCACATATTTTCGGAGTTTTCATTTAGTTGTTTTATGATTTGATTTGATTTATTTATTATTAGCCGAAATCTACGTCACAACATCATTATAAACCAAGTACTCAAAGATTTGGGAGATTTTGTTTTTATTGAAAACATAACACACTTAAACCGAGATAATTTCAATATCTTGGTTGATTTCGGGCTCCATATCCGGTAACTCGTATAAATTATCATCTACTTTTTTCTTGTTCGTCTTTTTAACTTTTGGATCCTTTCTCTCCGCTTTCTTTTTCGTGATCTGTTTTTCATCGGCAATATCTTTTGTCTGGGATTTACCCATTACTATTCGGTTGTGGCAAATACAAAACTTCCTGCCTCGTAATCTTCGCATGCAGTCGGAATCACTTCGATAGTTATTCAATCGATTTATGGACTCAACATTTATGTATTCCAGCTTTTGGTGCTTGTGATTGTATCGAGTGGTAGCCGAGAACCTGGGATTATTCGGGCTGGCAGTAAAATCCACTCGATAGGTGCCACTGCTACCTGATAATTTTGCATCCTTTCTTTGCAGCACCTGTTTGACTGCTTTCAGTGTGAGATTGGAGCAAAGTTCCTGCAAATTGTGATGGTTCAGGAAATTGTTGATGCTGCGAACGAGTAGCTTTCCCAGGGACAATTGTTTAACCTGCTTGGTGTTTAGCAGCTTGTAGCTATCACAGGGGCAGTACGATTCTCCTATTCCGGCATCCGAACAGGTACGATTCTCGGGCACGGGAGCAAAAAGAGTCTGACAGGTGGGACAATCCACTAGTTTGTCCACCGCCCGAGGCCAACGTTCTCCCAGTTCCAACAGGTGTTGTAAAGTGATATGAAGATCGTAGGGGGATGTCAGCCGATTTCTATTGATCCGCAGGCCCTGAACTATTTCCGGATGTAATGACCGAAACCACGGTGGCAGCCAAATGAACAAAATGGGAAGACTTTCCTCCAGGAAGTCGCTGTTATTTCCCTTTCGCAAGGGTCCCTGATCGCTGAAGAGGATCACAATTGACTGGGTGAGAACGCCCATTTTCTTTAGTTTCTTCACGTTTTCCAACAGTTCAGACTGCATTTTATCATTAGCATAAGATCGCTCGTGGTTTATACTGTTGCCAAGGAAAAGTCCAAATAATGGCCTTGGTGTTTTTGCATGTCTCCTTAGAAAGTGCTCACAATAGTCAAAAATATACTTGGTACTTAAACGTCTGTCAATGCAGTCTTGCTTTTCTTTTAGCTTGGAAAAAGGTCGAGCGTAGAAATCCATGGGATCTTCAAAAAAACCCAACTTGTCCAGATCGAACAGGGTCAAATCGGACATGCCCTCGCCATAGGCAGTAGTGTAGCCTTTCTTTTTGAAACGCTTCCATATCAACGGCATTGTCTTAATGCAACCTTTTACTCTACTTGATTTGCACTTGAGATTCATCCAAGAATGAGGATTGTAGCCTGTTATTACAGCCATTAAATTTGCCAGGCTATCATTACCCACTCTTGAGTATCCGTCCATCTGAAACCAGCCTTGATTTCTCAGTTCTTTAAATATTCCGGGCATATTGCGACGAAAGTCGACTTGGGAAATGCCATCGATACCAATCATAATAACATTCGGTCTGCGATGCCACGAAATAAGAGGGGTATAAGTCTTAAGAGGTTGTACAAGGGCAAAAGTGTCCGATTGCAGAATTTCTTCCAGTTCATTTCGGCAGGCGGCTTTCAGGCCCTCGATATTACGGGGCACCGCATAGCCATCCGAAAAAGCAATTTCCTCGTTTAACCTTATAAAAAAATCATTTATTATAAAGTTACTCATCTACTAAAACTAAATACTCACACAACAGGTGAGTCGGCAGTAAGATTTCTATTCACCCTTCTGATCTCACGATAGGTGCAATTGTATCCCACTAAGTTGGACTTCTCCTCCATAGCCCTTAGTTTCAATTGGGCAACTTTATCGTTTACATGCAATACATATTGCTGGATTTTCTCTTCGAATCGAATGCTTATCAAATTATCATCTGTCGCGCATATTTTGTATTTCTTTGTGCTCTTTTTTATATTTTTCATTTGTTGCGGGATATAGGGAATATGACATTCTGATGTCTTGATATAGTGTTCATGCCCGATTTTCACAGATTGCTGGGAATTTCGAAGAACTGGACGTCTTTTCGCAGTCATAGCCAAATGGCTCAATATAAATAAATTACTTATCAACAGCAGCGTCCTACGAGGTTCCATATCAACTCTCAACTAATTTAAATTCAGAGAATTTAGCTCCTTAAAGTAAAACGATTTTTCATGGTAAATTTGAATTTCCGTGGTGTAATACTGTATCAATTACTGTACTCTGTTCCAAATTAGAAACATTAGTTGACTTATATATTTACAATGGGACGGTTTGTTTTGACCTATTTTAAAAGACTTGTCGTGTGCTTTCTCATTGTAATTCTGATATATTTGTTGACTACTCTCACTCCAAGAGACAAAGAAAAGTTTGAAATAAGTGTTCGAAAAAATCGAGGAGAGGAGAAAAAATATTATGTAAAATCAGGAAAGTGTGAAATGCCCTATGTGGACCCATTTAACGATGAGTTTACGAGAATCAACCACCCAAAAATATTTATACCTTGCACAAACGAAAGTGATCTTATTACTGTGCACTACGATAATATATTTAATCAATATGTGCTTCATATTAATGAGGAAGTGCTTCATAAGCTGACCGAGTCGAAAAGTAATAACTTTTCTTGCTTTTACCAGAAAATTATCTACGGTCAATCGCCCGATTACTACGATAAGTATGTTTCGCTCTTAGCAAAATTGTGTTGCCATAAAAAAGGTCTTTACAAATAGAATAGGCGAGAAAACTAAACTCACTCAGGACTATTTGGTACCCTTGAATGTCGAAGGAATGTTGGTGGACTGCAGGACAGCAGACGAAAAGAGAATCCTGCAAAAAGATGCTTTTGTTTTTATACAATACCAGAAGAGTCCTCAGAATTTAAATGTTAAAGATCGAAAAGCCAGTGTCATTATGTACGGCATAGATACCGTTTCACGCACAAATATTCGTAGAATGATGCCTATGGTGTACGAGTTCCTTAAGTCACCTGGCTGGTATGAAATGATGGGTTACAATAAGGTAATTGTTAAAATAGAAAAACCGAACTACCCATAGTATAAACTATTCAATTTCTATTTATTTTTTAAAGGTGGCAGACAATTCCTTTCCCAACATATTCGCTATGCTAACTGGGCTTTCTCCGGAGTCGGCAGAAGAACAAGTTTGTAATACCGATATAGACGGATGTTTGGATAAAATACCCTTCATTTGGAAGGAGTTCAAGAATGAAGGCTATTTGACCGCCTATGCTGAAGATGAGGAAATTTCGAATACCTTTAACTATATGAAGCCGGGATTCGGCGTGAGACCCACAGATTACTATTTCCGCCCGTTTTTAACAGCCCTGGAAAACGAGACCGTCATTCAATATAACACTGGATCTCTGATGAAATACTGCCTGGGTCGTCGTCTGGCCAATAGCTATATCTTTGACTACTGCCGACAGTTTATGCAGCGATTCGTGGCCGATCGACCCATTTGGGGTATGTTTTGGTCAAATCACTTCAGTCACGACGACTTCTTCATGCTCTCAGCCATGCAGCATAAGATATTGAATGATCTGCTGAATTTCGAGAAAGACGGGGCTTTTGAGCATACGATAATGATATTCTTCTCGGATCATGGAGCTCGGTTCGGTCCTCTGATGTACATGAAGGAGTCATTTCTGGAGGAACGGCTGCCCATGATGTTTATTTACCTACCTCCCTGGTTCCGGGAGAAATATCCTCAATATGTGCAGGCTCTGTCTCAGAATCAACATCGTCTGAGCTCAAACTTCGACGTCTACAACACCCTTAAGCACATTCTAAATATTGAAGAAGTATTAGAGGATACACAGTGGGCATACGACTGCCCCGATTGTCAGTCGCTCTTTTATCCCCTTCCCGAGAATCGCAGCTGCTCGGATGCTGGCATATCGGAGCCCTACTGTACTTGCCACAACTACAAGGAAATCAAGGCGGAACCATGGACTTGGCGCTTGGCGGATCTGGTGGTGGATCGCATAAACAAGTACCTCAAGCTTAACAATATACAGGATCTGTGCAGCGATCTCACTCTGAAGGTAGTAAACTCCACCGAACAATGGATGGAGGAGATCGATGGTGATGTTGATCGACCGAAAGGAATGAGGTACTATCACACCAAGTTCCAGGTGCATCAGAATATGGCCGAGTACTTTGCCACCGTTCTTTACAATAGGGATACAGAGGAACTCAAAGTCAACGTGGAACTCATCAGCCGTATTAATATGTACGGCACTGATTCAGAATGCGTTAACAATAAGATACATAAGTTATATTGCGTATGCCTATCAAAGCTACGGACCTTAGAAAAATAATTGAAAATTAATAATTATTTCAGTCACATAAAAATTCCGGAAAAACAAAAAACTAATAAACATACAATTAAACAAACAAATAGGTTAAATAGGTTTTTACGAACTGAAGTTGTATTTGACAAAGTTATTGTAATTTTCCACCAATAATGGGAAACGGTAAACAATAATTATGAAAGTCAATGGCTATTCTTTTTATATTTATTCAACATAGCGTCTGTTGCTCTAATTTCGTCGATTGCGATCAGTTCAGAATTCAGTTGTTAGTTGCATTCTAGACCACACGGATCGGAAAATTGCATTATAAAATAAAACATTTACGTGCGGACCTCGAAACTATAGGCGCTTTCTACCAAGTTTTACGGGCTAAATATTAAGAAGTATTGTCTTTATACAACATTTCTCAATCTAATCAATTTTAAAGCATTTGGCTTTTTTGTAACAGAGAAGATATTCAATTTGTTTTCCTCCAAATTGTAACATTTATTTTAATTTAATATTTTGCGACAAAATAAAAATTGGCCCAAAAACATAGTAAAATAATTCATATATTTTGAGTGTTTATTGACTTGTTTATTAAATGATCATATTGACAATGAAAGAGTATAAACGTTATCTATGGTGCATTCCCATTTTCTGTCTTTTAATTCTGTGGAACATAATGCCCTTCGAAGTGAATGAAAGCTTTGCCACATACAATAAAAACGGTGAAAAACGATTCTACGTTAATTACCCAAAGTGCCAAATACCATACGTAGAGCCCTATAATTCTGAGTTCCTGAAAGTCTACAAGCCAAAAGGCTTTACACCTTGCTCCAATCAAAGTGACCTTATTACGGTGCAATTCGATAAAGTGTTCAATCAATATGTGCTTCATATTAATGAGGAAGTGCTTCATAAGCTGTCCCAGTCGAGAAGTAATGACTTTTCTTGCTTTTACCAGAAAATTATCTACGGTCAATCACCGGATCGCTACGATAAGTAATGTTGCACTATTTTCACTACTTGATTTTCCTTTAAAAATATTTTTTATTAAAAGAAAAGGGGAGAAAACTAAACTCACTCAGGACTATTTGTTACCATTGGATGTCGAAGGAATGTTGGTGGACTGCAGGACAGCGGACAATAAGAGACTCTTGCAAAAAGATGCTTTTGTTTTTATACAATACCAGAAAATTTTTCAAAACTTAAAGCCAGATCGAAAGGCCAGTGTCATCATGTACGGCATAGATACTGTTTCACGCACAAATCTTCGTAGGATGATGCCCATGATATACGAGTTCCTTAAATCCCCAGGCTGGTACGAAATGATGGGCTACAACAAGGTAAGATTAAATGGACAATGTAATAATTATATTTATGTTCACAACTCACAAATCGATATATTTTCGTTATAGGTGGCTGATAATTCCTTCCCCAACATATTCGCTATGCTAACTGGTCTTTCCCCTGAGTCGGCAGCAACTCAAGTTTGCAATACAAGTCAAGAAGGATGTTTGGATAGTATACCCTTTATATGGAAGGACATGAAAGAAAGTGGATACTTGACCGCCTATGCTGAGGATTCGCTGACTATAAATACCTTTAATTACTTGAAACCAGGCTTTTCCAGTAAGCCGACCGATTTCTACTTTCGTCCCTTTTTGAATGCCCTAGAACAAGAAACTGTGATCCAATATTGTCCGGGCTGTCGGATGAAATACTGCCTGGGTCGTCGTCTGGCCAATAGCTATATCTTTGACTACTGCCGACAGTTTATGCAGCGATTCGTCGCCGATCGTCCCATTTGGGGTATGTTTTGGTCGAATCACTTCAGTCACGACGACTTCTTCATGCTTTCCGCCATGCAGCACAAGATATTAAATGATCTGCTGAATTTTGAGAAAGACGGGGCTTTCGAGCACACGATAATGATATTCTTTTCGGATCATGGAGCTCGTTTTGGTCCTATGATGCACATGAAGGAGTCATTTCTGGAGGAACGGCTACCCATGATGTTTATTTACTTACCTCCCTGGTTCCGGAAGAAATATCCCCAATATGTGGAGGCTCTATCTTTAAATCAACATCGTCTGAGTTCGAACTACGACGTCTACAACACATTGAAGCACGTCCTACAAATTGGAAATAAAGTAGAAGCTACAAAATGGTCCCACGACTGCCCCCAATGTCAATCGCTCTTCTATCCACTTCCCGAGAATCGCAGTTGTTCTGAGGCTGCCATAGCGGAGGCGTACTGTACCTGCCACAATTACGAGGAAGTCAAGGAGGAGCCGTGGACCTGGCGAATGGCCGATCTGGTGGTGGATCGCATAAACAAGTACCTCAAGCTTAACAATCTACAGGATCTTTGCAGTGATCTTACTTTGAAGATAGTAAACTCCACCGAAGAAAGAATGCTTGAGGTCGACGAGGACGTAAACCGGGCGAAGGGAATGCGTCATTATCACACCAAATTCCAGGTTCATCAGAATATGGCAGAATTCTTTGCTACACCTCTTTACAACAAAGAAACGGAAGAACTCGAGATCAATGTTGAACTCATCGGGCGACATAATAAGTATGGCTCCGATGCTGAGTGTCTAGATAATAAGATCCAAAAGTTGTATTGCATATGCCTATCAAAGATATGGACAAACGAATAGCAATATTGATTCAGTTATTAAGCTGCAATCATTTTTTTGAGTAATAAATACAGCTATCGCTTAAAAAGCTCATTACGAACCCCCTAATAAATGTTTTCAGCAAATGTATCAATATCTTAAACTTCAAAAAAACTTCAAGGTGGTGTTCTCCGAAAAAGCATAAACCTGACCTTCCCCAACTATCAGAGCTCGTTTGACATTCTAATTATTAAAAGTGGATGGGTAACCGAGTTCAAGTGTAGGCTCCATTAGAAAATTACTAGAGTAAAAAAGTGTGATAACGAAGGCAAGGGTTTTTGCTTTCGGTGGGCTGCGATTTCGGTTCAGTTGGGTCGTATATTTGGTCTAGGGCAGACCATGGAGTCGCGATTTCGGGCCAATCACCAGCTCTTCAAGTTCCTCGGATTGTGTTACTTTTTATTAATTTTTGGATTCGTAATTTATCGGTCAAATATTTCCTGGGATACGCATTTCAAGCGATCTACAAAGAACATTCTATTGCGACTTTCGAGCAGTCCGGAACCACAGCAGTACTATGTGAAAACCTCCAAGTGCCAGATCCCCTATGTGGATCCCTTCAACGCCGAAGTGATGAAAATTTACAAGCCGCAAACACTAGTTAAATGCTCGAATGAGACCGATCTCATAAGGACTGAATATAACGAAAAAATTAGGCGCCATGTTTTGCACATCGACGATAAAGTTGCTCTTAAATTGCTTAACTTCACCGACGAGGAATACAATTGCTTTTATCAAGAAATCGAATACGGGAATAATGCAGATAACTACGACAAGTAAGACAATGTGAATCCCCTAATCGCAAGCCAAATGTTACCCAACCCTCTCATCGCGTAGCCTTAAGGCGAGGAAGTACTTTACCAATGGATATCAGGTGCCGCAGCATGTGGAGGGCATAATCGTCGAGTGCCAGATGGCCGAGGATCCGGAAGTGGTCCTCCAGAAGGATGCCTTCATGTTCATCCAACATCGGCCGCTGCCCAAGGAACTTAAAAAGCCGAGAGGCCCCCGAAAACCCAGTGTCATAATGTACGGAATTGACTCGTTGTCACGGATAAATATTCGCCGAACCATGCCGAAGGTCTTTAAGTACCTACAGGGTCCAGGGTGGTACGAGATGCAGGGATACAATAAGGTAACAAATTATTGATTGACTATGTTTTCTAGAATTTGTTTCTGCCTTAAAAAAAATCTTAAAAATTTTTTAAGTATGGGGTTTAAAAGATAAGGGGTGTATCTTTTAAAAAACTTTAACATCGAATCAAACCATGCATCCATTTGCCTCTGAGAGCTCCGCAAAGTTGGCCAATTTCAGCATTTTTCGAACTTTAAGGTCATTTTGCTAAGAATCCTTGCGTCGGGGAACTTTTTGGAAAACGCAGTTTAACTTGGGAATTCGTAACGAATCCAAAAATATAGCATCCATCGAGGTAAATTTAAAAAGCACTAAAAATGCTGCACAGTGTTATAATTGATAATAATAAAAAAAGTTCCAACACATTAAAAAAATTGTAAAATATTTTTTTATTTTTTATTAAAATTTTTTTTTACATTGAAAATGAAAAAAAATTTTTTTTTATTTGTTATAATATTTTTTTTCTTTCAAAATTAAATAAAAAATATTCTATTACTACAAAAAATATTATCTTTGAGGGCTTTTTACCCAGATATCATTTCACGTTTCCTTCATTTTCGGCAATGCAAGATAACTACCATTTCCGGATTATTAATTATACCCCTGAATAGAAACGATTTTAAAGAAATAATATAACAGAGAAAACGAAGTGATATCGAAATCGTATAAATTGGATTTCAACGGTGTAACTTTTCGTTATCTTTTGGGTCGTAAATTAAATTAATTTGAATAATCTTCTTTTAGGTGGCGGACAATTCATTTCCCAATATACTCGCCATTCTCAGTGGATATTCGGAAGGTACGGCCAAGCAACAGGTCTGCGATACCAACAAGGCGGGCTGCTTGGATGAAATGCCAATGATATGGAAGTACTTCAAGAATGCCAGCTATTTGACGGGTTACGCAGAGGACGAGAGTGGCTCGAATCATTTCAACTATCTGAAGCCCGGCTTCTCCAAAAAGCCCATGGACTACTACTTTCGCCCACTGCTAACAGCTCTGGAGTCCGAGATGGATGTGTATCGATTGCCGGAGCATGACTACATGCGATATTGCCTGGGTCGCAGAATGGCGAATCGTTATATCTACGACTACGGACTCCAGTTTACCCAGCGTTTTGTCCACGAACGACCCATCTGGGGTATGTTCTGGTCGAATCATTTCAGTCACGACGATCCCTTTATGCCGTCGGCCATGCAGGACATAGTTCTCGGTGATCTGCTCGATTTTCACGAGGATGGGGACTTTGAAGAAATGATAATGATATTCTTTGCCGACCACGGAACCCGATTTGGCAGGCTGACCTGGCTGAAGGAGGGATTCCTCGAGGAGCGGTTGCCCATGATGTTTATATATCTACCTCCCTGGTTCCGAGACTCATACCCCTCATTTGCCCAGGCACTAGAGTTAAATCAGCACAGGTTGAGCTCTAATTTCGATCTGCACAATACACTGAAGCACATCGTCGAGATTGGAGGTACTCCAGATGGCCCAAATCTACCCAGGTCCTTCGACTGTCCTACATGTCAGTCGCTATTTTATCCTCTGCCGGAGGATCGCACCTGTTCACAGGCGGGCATCGAGGAGCACTGGTGCACCTGCCAACCCTACAGGACTCTCAAGAGACAGGCGTGGGTGGAGTACATTGCCGACAGTGTGATCGATCGGATGAACGAGTATTTCGTGCACAAGAATCTCAGCGACCTTTGCAGCAATCTGACACTCGGCTATATCCATAAGGCTGAGATCAAATCGGATCCGAATATCGAGTGGCACGAGGAACTGAAGGAGGTGGAAACCGCCGTATATCGAATTAAATTCAAAGTGGAGCAAAATAGTGCTGATTTCCAGGCCACCGTGGTCTATAATAATTCCACCCAAGAAGCTGAAGTAAATGTCGAGAAAATCAGCAGAACGAACACATACAAGGAGGACTCTACCTGCATCGACGACAAGCTTGCCAAACTGTATTGCATTTGCTTTAGTGACCTCAAGTCAGACTAATTTAGGACATAAATCTTAACAATTCAGGGTACATTTGCCAATATAAGAAAAGTACCCATGTTAATAAAAATATTCATTCAAATCTATAAATCTTGTCTTTTGTTACGATAAGAGACAAGAGTTCATTAATTTTCTAGAATTTCAATTTGAACATTTTTAGGGGAATCACAGAATTCTCTTCAAATCCAATTCCTCACAAAATAAAAATTTCGGTATCCCACAAACCGTTTAAAAACACAAATACTTTAAAATCTACTTCAAACTTACACATTTCTACACGCTTGTACATGACTTTTGCATCAGAGCGGGGTACCTATTTTCAAAAAAATTTATTTCTTGGGCAATGCAATTTAAACCGCACGACAGGATTATGAAATTACAAAAAAAAATTTCCATCCTTAACTTTGAGTATTTTAAGTTTGAATTGAAGTTGGGACTTGAATTAAAATTTAATTATGATTTACATTTACATTTCAATTTTACATTTTAGTGCAGACACTAACCTTTTTTCTGTTTTCCTATTTATATAATGATCCCATTAAAATAAAAGAAAGATTAATTTGGATTTTTGGTGCTTAAATTTTTGTATATTATATAATCCATCCGTAAAATTAGCCCAGTCTAGCTAAACTACCAAATATTTCAAAGATACATATGTATCTGATGTAAAGTTGTTCTTAACATTACGGAGCTCTGTTAACTGCTAATGTTAAAATGTATCTACATAGTGCATTTTCGAAAAAATAACAGATCAGGTACAATTCTCTCTACGCGCTCTTCGAAACTCGCGCTCTGCGCAATCACTTGTTGCTGAGATTTCGAATAACAATCGAATCCCAATCCCACTGAAGTTTCCATCTGCGCACTCATTCTCGCCTGTGGATCTCTCTCGATCGGACGTTTTTCGGATTTTTCGGAGTAGGCACCGGATCGACTCGGGATCGGGCCCCAACTCTTGGAATTTTCTTTCCGATTGTCTTGGAAAATATCTTCTTTGCCGCGCGCGTGTGTGTGTGTGTGTGCCCTGTGTGTGGAGTTTATAAAAAGAAGTCGAAAAGTGTTTGCCGCATCAACAAAAATAAAAACACCCAAGAGACGTGTGTTTGTTGTTTTGTCTGTATAACAGAAAATTTGTTTTCTCAAAACTCCACCATCAGTCATCGCCCAAGGAATAGATATCGACGCACGATCCGCAGCTGAAAAAAAGTATCCGGTAAGTTGACGTTTCTTAAGGAACCGATTAACAGTTAGATTTTGGATCCACGCGGAGTTTTTACGCAGTTTTTAACAGCTGCAGTCTCCCCGTCTCGCTCGCTCCTGCCTCTTGCTCTCTCTTTCTCGAGGTTTATCTTGTGGCCTGTTTTTGTTGTTACTTTACTTGCGTACTTCTATTTCTCCTCCTTCGCATCCGCTGCCGTTGTATCTGTTGTTGTTGTTGTGGCACACTGCTGCTTTTTATCGTCTCTCTGTTTATGTGTGTTTAAACTTAAGATACATAACTCTAAAAAATTCGTTTCGAGTATCAAAATATTCTTATAAACATAGAATATTTTAATGAAATTCATTTTCTAAAATCTAAAATAATGTTTTTGGATTCAAAAAAAGTATCTCAGCAAACATTGAACTCGGAACATTTTCATACAATATGCTAGCTTGATTTACTTATAGAGAGCATTTCCTTTAAACTTATACCTAGCAATATTTTTAAAAATTTAGCTGGACATTTAATTTTGACCCAAAACTTATTTTTATAACAAATAGAGATTCCCGAACCATCTACAGTAGATCTCTAATTTCTTATCTTTTTTTTCAAAAAATGACTTTATGTCACGAAAGGCAAAGAAAAACTATAAATGTACAATTACTTGGCCATAGCATTTTTGTAGATTAAGCAAACAAATTCGTACATATGTATAGAAACATGATGCCATAAGGCGGTAACGGCAACCCAAGTGAATGACTGCATGTGGACTTAAAAAGTGCATTGCCAAGCTGATTTTCTTTATTTCAGCGACAATGCGACTGGCTAATTAAAATGTGAGCCGGGCCTGTCGCCTTGAAGAAGATGTGCGGCCGACGGATTAATTCAACTAGATTGGATTGCGGACTGTGGGTAGAAAAGGATTTAGGCGGTGTGGTATAATTATAGCCGGACTATCGCGGGCTGATCTCATATTTAGACGTAAGACTTCCACAACATGTGTGCTCCAGACTGTGAATTGAAATTCGGGGCTGGGGTTGACGGTGGAATGGTGCATATGTCTTTGGAATAAACATACAGTGGTCAGTCGTAAAGAAAGTCTAAAGAAAGAAAGTTTAATAAGGTTTCATTTACTAAATACCACACAATTATAATCTAAATTATACAATTTTTTCATTAAAAAAAATTATTTATTATATTTATTAAATTCTAAAAATTGAATTTACAAGTTTTAAAATTGGATTAAATCAACAAAACTTATTGTTTCCATGCATTTTGATATAAATTCTCTTTAAATTTTAGATATTAAATATAGTTTAAATTCATTCATTCATTCATTAATAAGATTTAATTTAAAAAGTTCGTTTTTATGTGATCCCTGTATCAAATCGTATTTGTGTGGTCAAGTAAGCTGCCCGCCTTGATAAAATTGGAAATATAAACATCATCTCCCGGCGAAACTAAGAAAACATGAGCCAGGCCAATTGTATGAGCAAATTTTTATGAACTGGCCATAGACATATATACAAAATTTATATATATATACAGACCCCTACACTGAGATACACACCGAACGAAGTCGAGAATCGTGGAGCGCTCCACTGCTCCATTATTTACCCGCACATACAAACTCATATCCATATAGTGTACATATTGTGCCTGGTAAATTTACGTTTTGTTCTTTGCTTATTTGTTTATTTGCCAGTTTCCTCGGCGGCAAAACGAACGAAAACGAAATTAACCAGCGAACAAATAGCAAACAAAAAAATTTAAACACACTCAAAGTAATTAAGTCGGGAGTGGAGTCGAGTTCCCATTATAGAGTTCCCAAGAAACAGTGTCTGTGAATGAACTCTTATCAGGACAGTTGAAAATTAGTAAATACAAATACAAATATACATACGTTTATATGTATTTTTGGACCCATGAGCAGCATGGATTCTAGATCATATTTTTGGAACTTTGGGACTTATGCTTATCTCCCTAGCTCGTAGAACAGTTTTCGATTTTCGATCCGAGAGACCGGTTTTCCCGTGCCCCTCCGGGATCCTTTGATAAGAACCTGAGAACTATTTCTTTATTACTGTAAACCCCACATTCTCTCACATTTTCAAACAAATTCACTTTTAACTTATAATATATTATTATTATTAAACCACATTTTTTTTAAATTTTTTTTTATAATTTTGAGATGCGTTTTAAAAAACAACTTCTTAACAACAAATTACACACAAGTCCCAATTCTTGAATATGATTTTGTGCGGGACTCTCTCAAACTATGCTGATAAAACAACGATTCAACGCACCAGGCAACAACGGACTACCATTATCGCACTATATAATAAGAGAAGTCGGACTGATAATGCGATCCATTCAGTTTCAGTTCAAGATTCAGTCTGCGTCTCAGTTTGTGCGTAAGACTTGTTGGGCGCGGATGCCTTTTTTTACTTTATGGTACGAGACGAAAATAAATCCGTTTTTTGTGTTTTTGCTTGTGTAGAAAATTAGAGCATCTCTCGGCTGATAAGAAGTTCACAGTGAGGGCAAAAGCGAGAACTAACTGAAATCGAAACTAAAAGAATATAATTAAAAATACAATTAAATCTTTTATTTCTTACAGCTGCGGGTTTTGTTAAATAATACCAGAATGAATGAATTAATATTTTAAAGAAAGAAAAGGAAGAGAAGCGGTGATCAAGTAAGTGTCTAAGTTGTGCTTTCAATTAATATTCGGAAGAAGGATGGTGATAAAAGTTTTTACAAAGATACAAAAAATACAAAATTAGAGTTCATTAAACTCAACAATAAAAAATTAAATTAGTTTCACCACCTAACTTTGGAATGTTAATGGAATCAATATTGAGTGAATCATGTTTTTAACATTTCAAATAATTTATATAGATTTTTCTACCGAGGATCACGTGGCCAACTGTAAGAGATCACCACAAAAACGAACGAAAAGAAACAAAAAAACTGATTAAAGTCCCGGCCGGAAGTGCCCCAGTGGAACGCGACCCCAACAACAGAGAGCCAGTTCGAGATGCTGGAACTGCGGCTTATCGTGGTCATTGTGCTCGGACTGCTCGGCCTGCTGGGCAGTTTGGATGCCCAAAGAGTGCCGCAGCATGGCCGACGGGATAGGCCGACGTATTTGCAGAAGAACTTCGTGAAGGCGCATCCTTGTGAGAGATCCTCGTGCTATCCGGCTACGGGAAATCTCCTCATCGGCAGGGAGAACCGCCTGACGGCCAGTTCCACTTGTGGCCTGTACTCCCCAGAGCGTTTCTGCATCCTGTCCCATTTGCAGGACAACAAGTGCTTCCTCTGCGACACGCGGGAGAAGACCAAGCAGGATCCCTCGATGAACCATCGCATCGGGCAGATTATCTACAAAACGAAGCCAGGAACCAACAGACCCACCTGGTGGCAGTCGGAGAATGGCAAGGAGAATGTCACCATTCAACTGGATTTGGAGGCAGAGTTCCACTTTACCCATTTGATCATAACCTTCACCACCTTCCGACCGGCGGCCATGTACATCGAGAGATCCTTTGATTTCGGCTCCACCTGGCATGTCTATAGGTATTTCGCCTACGACTGCAAGGAGTCCTTCCCGGGAGTGCCCACTGTTTTGGAGAATATCACTGATGTGATGTGCACCTCGAGGTACTCCAGTGTGGAGCCATCACGGAATGGTGAGGTGATCTTTAGGGTTCTTCCACCCAACATCAATGTCACGGATCCCTACGCGGAGCATGTCCAAAATCAGCTAAAGATGACTAACCTACGGATTAAGATGACCAAACTGCACAAGCTGGGCGACAATCTTCTAGATAGTCGGCTGGAGAACGAGGAGAAGTACTACTACGGCATCTCGAACATGGTGGTTCGAGGATCCTGCTCCTGCTACGGCCACGCCTCCCAGTGTCTGCCCATGGACCCGCACTTCTCGCAGGCGGACAATGAGGATGGAATGGTCCATGGGCGATGTGAGTGTACGCACAACACCAAGGGCATGAACTGTGAGGTGTGCGAGGACTTCTTCAACGATCTGCCCTGGAAACCGGCCTTTGGTAAGCAAACAAATGCCTGCAAGAAGTGCGAATGTAATGATCACGCGGTGAGCTGTCACTTTGATGAGGCTGTGTTCACTGCCTCCGGTTTGGTTTCCGGCGGAGTCTGCGACAATTGTTTGCACAACACCCAGGGACAGCACTGCGAGGAGTGCATGCCGTTCTTCTACCGCGATCCCGAGCAGGACATCAACTCACCCAGTGTCTGCCAGCCCTGCGATTGTGATCCTCAGGGATCTCTGGATGATGGTATCTGCGATTCTCTAAGTGATCCCGTGGAAGGAGCAGTAGCGGGAGCTTGTCACTGCAAGGCCTTCGTCACCGGACGCCGTTGCAACGAGTGCAAGGATGGCTACTGGAATCTGCAGACGGATAATCCCGAGGGTTGCGAGCCGTGCACCTGCAATATCCTGGGCACCCTGAACAATTCGGGTTGCGTAATGCGAACGGGCGAATGCAAATGCAAGAAATACGTAACCGGCAAGGACTGCAATCAGTGCATGCCGGAGACCTATGGTCTCTCCGAATCTCCCGAGGGTTGTGCTTTGTGCAACTGCGATGCCGGAGGATCCTACGATAATTACTGCGATGTGATTAGTGGTCAGTGTCGCTGCAGGCCGCATATGACGGGCAGAAGTTGCTCGCAGCCCAAGCAGAATTACTTTATACCAACGCTAACGCATGTCTACGATGCCGAGGTGGTGGATGAATGCATCACCTACGGCAACAATGGAAACTGCAGCCTGGTGGCCGAGGGTCCGGATGGCACGCACACCTTCGAAAGGGTTCCCGAGAACACCGAACTGGTCTTCACCGTTGGCGATATTCCCAGATCCATGCCCTACGATGTGGTTATCCGATATCAGAGCACCTCACGCGGCGATTGGGAGGATGCATATATTACGCTAGTGCGACCCGATCAAGTGGATCCGGATGGAGGATGTGGACAGGTGGCGGCGGCCACTGCTTCCGAGAGCCGGGTGCCCTTCTCCCTGCCCGATCGCAGTCGCCATGTGGTGGCGCTGAATGACGTTTGCCTGGAGGCGGGCAAGGTCTACAAGTTCCGTATATATTTCGATCGGAGGCGTCACGATGCAGATAGCCCCACGGCCACAATCCTGGTGGACTCTCTAACACTCATTCCCCGCATCGATGTCACCTCTATTTTCACTGGTTCCGAGCTGGCCGATCTTCGTCGTCACGAGTATGAGCGATACAATTGTAATGCCTCGTTGTACGACATCGGCTATACGCCGGATCCAAAGTGCCAGCACCTGAACAACATTGCCAGTGAGGTGATCCACGACGGAGCCAGCATGTGCAACTGCAATCCCACGGGATCGCTGAGCAAGGAGTGCGATGCCTACGGAGGATACTGCCAGTGCAAACCGAATGTGGTGGGAAGGCAGTGCGATCAGTGCGCCCCGGGCACCTACGGATTCGGACCGGAGGGCTGCAAGGCCTGCGATTGCAACAGCATCGGATCGAAGGACAAGTTCTGCGACCTGATCACCGGCCAGTGCCAGTGTGTGCCGAATACTTACGGCAGGGAGTGTAACCAGTGCCAGCCGGGCTACTGGAACTTCCCCGAGTGCCAGGTGTGCCAGTGCAACGGACATGCGGCGCAGTGCGATCCGATCCAGGGAACCTGTCTGGATTGTCAGGTGAGCATACAAAGCATTAAATAATACATTTTTTTAACAATATGTGCAATATGATATTTAAATTTACGCTAAGTATGCAGATATCATAATCTTATTAGCAAAGTATTTCATTCTTAAAATATGTCTTATAATTAAGTTAATTTTCATTCAATTTATTCTATTATTTTCTATATGCATTTTAAATTTATTAAAGTTTTTAAGAAATCTTTTTTTGAGAAATCTCAAATTAGTAATTTTCAAATTGTATATTTATTAAAAAAAAAAATTATAATTATATAAGTTATATAAGTATTTGATTTTTTTTTTAATAATTAGATACACTATACAATTTGAAAATTACTAATTTGAGATCAAAACCAAGAAAGGGGTTATTTACATTTACATTTTGAGCTCCATTTAATAATTTCATTTATTTTTTATTTTTTTATTTTTTTATAATAAAATCACTATACAATTCGATAATTACTAATTTGAGATCAAAACCAAGAAAGTGGTTATGATTTAAATTTTAAGCTCCATTTAAATATAAATTAAAAAATTTTCGGTTTATAAATAAAGTGTATTAAGTACTCTCACTAATACTCTAAATTCCCCCCAAGGACTCTACTACCGGCTACAGCTGCGACGCCTGCCTGGACGGATACTACGGAAACCCGCTGTTCGGCAGTGAGATCGGATGCCGACCTTGCCGCTGCCCGGAGACGGTGGCCAGTGGAATGTCCCATGCGGATGGCTGCTCCCTGGACACGCGGAACAACAACATGCTGTGCCACTGCCAGGAGGGTTACTCCGGTTCCCGCTGCGAGATCTGTGCGGACAACTTCTTCGGAGTGCCGGAGAATGGGGGAACCTGCTCCAAGTGCGAGTGCAGCAACAATGTCGATCTCTATGACACCGGCAACTGCGATCGGCAGACGGGCGCGTGTCTAAAGTGCCTTTACCAGACGACTGGCGAGCACTGCGAACTCTGCACGGATGGCTTCTTTGGGGATGCACTGCAGCAGAATTGCCAGCAGTGCGACTGCGATTTCCTAGGCACAAACAACACCATAGCCCACTGCGATAGGTTCACGGGTCAGTGTCCCTGTCTGCCGAATGTCCAGGGAGTGCGATGCGATAGATGCGCCCCGAATCACTGGAAGATTGCCTCGGGCGAGGGATGCGAGAGCTGCAACTGCGATCCCATTGGAGCGCTGGATGAACAGTGTAATTCCTACACCGGGCAGTGCCAGTGCAAACAGGGATTCGGCGGCAGGGCGTGCAATCAGTGCGAAGCCCACTACTGGGGCAATCCGAACGAGAAGTGCCAGGCCTGCGAATGCGATCCCTACGGAGCTGCCGATCACCAGTGCGACCGGGAGACGGGTAATTGTATCTGTCACGAGGGCATCGGTGGCTACAAGTGCAATGAGTGCGCCCGGGGCTACATTGGCCAGTTCCCGCACTGCTCACCCTGTGGCGAGTGCTTCAACAATTGGGATCTCATCCTGAGTGCTTTGGAAGACTCCACCACAGCCACCATTCTGCGAGCCAAGGAAATCAAGCAGGTGGGCGCCACGGGAGCCTACACCTCGGAGTTCAGTGAGCTGGACAAGAAGCTGCAGCACATCAGGAATCTGCTGCAGAATACCTCGGTTAGTCTGGTGGACATAGAGCAACTGGATGCGGAGACCAAGGAACTCAAGGAGCAGCTGCAGGCTTCCCATGGCCGCTTGAGCGAAACCGAGAGAAACCTAGATGACATTTACAACTCACTTAGTTTATCGGGAGTGGAGCTGGAGAACCTGCAGAATCACTCGAGATTAGTGCAGCAGCTGTCCAAGGAGCTCAAGGAGAATGGCATACAGCTGCAGGAGTCGAATATCGAGGGGGCTTTGAACCTCACGCGCCACGCCTACGAAAGGGTTAGCAATCTGTCGACTTTGAAGGACGAAGCCAACGAACTGGCCTCCAATACGGACAGGAATTGCAAGCGAGTGGAGACGCTTTCAAATAAAATCCAGGCCGAGGCAAAGGACCTGGCCAACAATGACAAGTTCATCGCCGACTATCGCGCGGAGTTGACCTCCCTGACCTCCCAGGTGCCCGAGCTGAACAACCAGGTTTGCGGCAAGCGAGGCGATCCCTGCGACAGTTTGTGCGGTGGAGCCGGCTGCGGTCACTGCGGTGGCTTCCTGTCCTGCGAACATGGCGCCAAAACCCACTCGGAGGAGGCTCTCAAGGTGGCCAAGGATGCGGAGGCGGCCATTACCAGCAAAAAGGATCAGGCGGATCAAACTATAAGGTCTCTTACGCAGGCCAAGCTGAATGCCTCCGAGGCTTATGAGAAGGCCAAGCGGGGTTTCGAGCAATCCGAGCGTTACCTCAACCAAACCAATGCCAATATCAAGCTGGCCGAGAATCTATTCACAGCTCTAAATAATTTCCAGGAGAACAAGACCGCCTCGCCGGCAGAGAGCAAGGATTTGGCGCAGAAAACTCTGGATTTGGATCTGAAGCTGGAACCCGAGGAGATCGAGTCGCTGGGCAAGAAGATCAACGAGGCTGTCTCATCGCTGCGGAACGTGGAGGCCATCATCTACAAGACCAAACCCGATTTGGACCGGGTCAACAATCTGCAGAGCATCGCGAATGCCACCAAGGAGAAGGCCGATAAGATCCTCGACTCGGCCAATTCGGTGGTGGAGAGTCTGGCGGCGGCCGACGAGTCGCAGGGCAAGGCCAAGGATGCCATTCAGCAGGCCAACAGTAATATCGAACTGGCTGGTCAGGATCTGGAGAAGATCGATGAGGAGACCTATTCCGCCGAGGCTCCGGCCAATAACACAGCCGAGCAGGTCGAGAAGTTGGCCAAGAAGGTGCAGAAGTTGCAGAATAACATCGTGAAGAACGATCGGGATGCCAAGGAGATCACCAAGGAGGCGGGTCGCGTCAAACTGGAGGCCATGAGGGCCCGGGGCGAGGCTAGCAACCTGCAGTCGGCCACCAGTGCCACCAACCAAACGCTCACCGACCGAGCCAGCCGCTCGGAAAATGCCCGCGAAAGGGCCAAGCAGCTCCTCCAGCGAGCTTCCAAGCTGACCGTCGACACCAATGCCAAGCTGAAGGATCTCAATGATCTGCAGACCGTCTATCTGAACAAGAACCAACAGCTCCTCCAGCTGCAGGCCGACATTGGACCCCTGAACAAGGAGCTCACCGAGCACCTGCTGCACATCAAGGAGCGCGCGTCTTTCTACAGGCAGTGCTAAACGTAGATCGCAAAAGGTAATCATATATTGAGGAATTATTACAATGTCCTTAAGTCCTCATTGGTAACTCTATATTTTCTATTTTTTAAATACTTCGATTTTCTGAAAAAACGAGGACGGAAGCTAACTTCGGCAAGCCGAAGTTTTAATACCCTTGCAGATTTCACTAATGAAAACTTGACTAAAAAAGCAAATTGAATTAATAAACAGCAAAATATTCTAAAATTGAAAAAAATAAAAATTTTAAATTTTTCACCCTATTGTTCCTATGGGAGCTATATGATATAGACGTCCGATCGGCACGCGCTTTTACCCTGATCAAGGTACGCACAAAATAATACGATTTGGAAAGTTTCATGGGAATAGCTTATATTTTGCGCGAAATATCCTGAAAAACGTCAAATTTTGACCGATTTCACCCTATTGTTCCTATGGGAGCTATAAGATATAGACGTCCGATCGGCACGCGCTTTTACCCTGATCAAGGTATGCGTAAAAGAATAAGATTCATGTCAAAAGCTCTTACACTGAGCGAAATATCTTCATTTTGTGAAAGCTATATCCGATTGTTCCTATGGGAGCTATAGGATATAGACGTCCGATCGGGTCGGCTTTCAAACTTGATCTGCGTACACATGTTTTAGGACGACTGTGAAAGTTTCAAGGCGCTAGCTTTTAAACTGAGCTCGCAAACGGTATTGAAACAGACGGACAGACGGACAGACGGACAGACGGACAGACGGTCAGACGGACAGACGGACAGACGGACATGGCTATATCGACTCCCCTATTGATCCTGATCAAGAATATATATACTTTATGGGGTCGGAAACGTCTCCTTCACTGCGTTACAAACTTCTGACCAAAATTATAATACCCTCTGCAAGGGTATAAAAATTCTCAAACAGTCCCCAACCACAAAAATTGTCAATTACAACAATTAAATAGGTGTTTGTTTTTGCTTAATGTGTGTATTTGTTGTTGTGAAAGTAACTATTTAATTGGTAGAAATAACAATTTTTTGTGGTTGGGGACTGTTTGCCAATTATATTGGTTAATTTTCCCAAGTTTTTTTTTGTGTGTAAACCAGCGTATTATTAAAGACAAGCTCATATCCCAATTTAACAACCATTTAAAACCGAATTAAATTGTTTATTTTTGATAAAGTCATATTAACTAAAAATTCATAATAAAAATAAACAACTATTTTTTAAAAAAATTAAAAAATTGTTTATTTATTTATATTTCTTTTTTTAATTTTTAGATATGACTTCTGAAACTTCTTCTACAAACCTTCTATTGCATTAAAAACAACCAATTTATTAATATTTTTTTAGCAACTTTAATAAGTTCTCTAAAAGTATCCATTTTGAGATCAACTTCTTTTCACCGTACCGTTATATTTATAAAAAACTTAAAATAAAAAAATTTCGTTTAAAAAATAAACCATACTTTATTAATATTTCTATTTATTTACAGACTCCTCTGCGCGGCCATTTAAATTGCCATATTCATGAACAAATAAGCAATCTGCGAATTACGAAAATCAAGTAAAGAACTACAACAACAACAACTAGGAAGGCAAAAGTTATTATGTAACCACTGTTAAGTTACCGTTACGTTTTGTACTCTAAGCGAAAACCAACACTGCAATGTTAATTTTTAAAATTGAGCGAAAGAAATCGATGCCTTCACTTTTAATGTGTACACACTGAGCTAAGTTTTTCTTATACTATCCCTAAACCATTTTGTAATGCAATAAATGTAATTAAATAAAACTACTTAAATGTGGAAATGTCTTGTATTTGTTTGTGTTCGATTCGATACAGAGAGGAACGAGATGGATGTTTTTAATAGAGAGCGACAGGTGAGAGTATTTTGGTAGCACAGTACAACTTTGAATAACTAATTTTTTACGATTTACATTTCTTATCCTTCTTTTTTTTTAACCTTTTTTTTAATATTTTCTTTTGAAAAATTAGCGAACCCTCTTATAAAAAATTTTATAATTCATACTATCTATTTAAAATAATCTAAAAACGTAATCCAACTTATTTCGAAAAAAATTTTTAATTGCTTAAAAAATCCTTTAAATTAGTAAAAATATTTTTTTATAATATTTTATTAAATATAAATATTAGTAAATTTACGGTACAGGCATTTTACTGTAAAACTGTTTTTATTAGTATTGGTAAATATGCTGCCACAAACATTGCCATTTTATTCAATTTTTCGTTTTGTTTTAGTTCTTCTTTCTGCGCGTCGCGTGCTGCTTGTTTTTGTTTTTAATTTTCAGCCAATTAATTTTCCACACATTTTTTGGTGGTCAAGTGTATTTATTATAAAACCGGAAGTTGAAGCGAATGGATCGCCGTTACAGAAGATCGTTAAGGAGCTCAGCAGGTATCTTATATTTTCAAGTACTAACAATGCGGTTGGCACAGTTTCAGAGAAGCCCACTTCAAAGCCAAAGGTCAAGGTAATGCGGAGAATTGGTGGAAATATCGTACAGTTTTCAGTTTTCCTGCTTTTTCCCTGCTTTTTCGACAAACATTCAAGCTTTTCGTGAGAAGAGTAACCCTACCGACTATCGATAAGAGCTATCGCCGCGACCCCTATCGATACTTTTCAGCCGAAACGTATGTCATCAATTTCAGCTGAAATCTCAACAAGTGCAGGTTTATTTTAACTAAAAGCAGCCGAGTCGCTGGCTAAATCGGCATTGTTTGGGTCGGTGTTCAAGTTGCAGTGCGTGGAAGCGAATATATATTTTTTATTTATTTATTGCGACATCCGTGCGGGCAGACACACGAACGCGGGCGACAGATGTGCATACGTATATAGAGCACACGCACACACACGCACGCAGTGCGGATGTTCTGATTTTATGCAAGAAACTGAGTTTATTTTTAAAATAAGAATATTCGAACATCCGAAAATATAATGCCAAAGAAAGGCGACGGACGAGCGAGGAAAGAGCGAGTGTAAGCGCAGAAAAAGGGACACGACACGGCGAAAAGGAAAGGCGAACGAACGGCGAACGACAAACAAAAAAAAACAAAAAAACGGGAACAACGGCGGCAGTGGAAAACTCGGAAAATAATAAAATAAAAACACAAAAATAAAAATAATACGACATCTGACGTGCAGCGTCAAGTGCTTTTCCCCAGAGTACGTTTTTCCCCGAAATGGACTGGGATTTTCATTTTGCGAGCAATCTGCATTTTTCCCATCGAATTTAGGCCGAGTCGGAAATGCGTTCATTAAAAAAAATATACAAACTTAATATACTTAAAAAACATTTTTGTAGTCCCAAATGATCTCCTAGTCGAAAGTAATAATAATTTTGGTTAACGCGATTTATAGATGAGTTAAAAATGTTTTTAAAGAAGATGTACTAATTGACAATCCATTCGTAATATTCATGTTTAAATATGCTCTACAAAGGGTACAATATTAAAAGTAAATGTTCAAGAATTTTAAAAACTGGTACTACATTTATTACGACGTTCCTTTTTAGTACCAAATAATGGTAAGCTTGGTATCTTAATGATCCGTTTTATTTTGGTTAATGGTTAAATTTGAAATTACAATAAATTAACTTAAAAAAAAAAATTTAACAAATATTAAAACTATCCACTTAACAACATTTATTTATTTAACCAACACTTAAAATTGATTTAGAAAAACGGTCGTAGTGTTACTATAGTAAAGGTTTTTAAAAACAATAACTTTATTAAAAGCTTCTCACATTAATTTGGTACCGGAACTTCCTCAAAAACAGTAATAAAACATTCAAAGTATATACATATCTACCTTTTTGAGTTTACAAATATTTTTAAAAATCAACTAAAGGAGAGGTCTTTGAAACCGTAAAATTTAAACAACGAGAAATGCGAAATTATATTACTTCCGATTCCGCCAAGTTTGATAGAATTTTAAACGGGAAAGTCTCGCATATTAAATGCCCAACCCCTTTGTTGTTTGTTTTAATTTCGTTTTTTATTTATTGCATATACTACACACTGACACCCACCACCCACACTCACGGCTGACAGTCTCGCATGCGTTTAACTTCAAAATCCCAGACAGAACAGAAATCGAGCGCCAGCAGAGAATAACGATACACCGGCATTTCCCATGGACGACGAACTGGAAGATAAGGTGTTCTATCAGACATACGTATCGCACATGAAAATCCTGTCGAAATTTGCGGTGGGCTTCTCGTCCATCAACTCGCCCCTGGCCTACATATGGAAGCTGTGCCGACTGTATGTCCTGCGCCCGGAGGTCATCTTCTGCGGCTTGATCCTCTTCGTCCTGTTGCTTTACTTGCAAGCGGTAGATGTGTGGAGTCGCAGCATCCTGGGTCGCATCCAGGCCACTCTCGGTCGCCAGAAGGCCGTCAAGATGATGGAGATGTCGGCCAGTGCCGGGGATCACCAGAGCTGGGAAGAGATGAAACAACAGAGCTCCGCCTTCGCGGTCCTGGGACGCAGGCCTCGCATGGAGGATAGGTTGGTATATAGTCGTAGTCAAAGCCTTTTCATGAAGTCAAAATTATTCCCAGAAAATACGTAAAATCTTTCTGGATTTATAGACTTTCTAAAATTATAAAAATGTTACTTGTTATTTGATTTAAATTGCCTATTGACAAACAAGATCTTGGCAAATGAGACAGCATTAATTATAAAATTATAAATTCTTCAAATAGTAATGCATCACCTTATGGCTACGTTAATCTTTTCCATATGCCAACTTTTTTTACGACAAATATTACTTAGCTTTCGAATAAGTGATCCATAAAAGTGGACATTCAGCGACTTTCGGACATATCTGTCTAAATTTATAACTTAACCTTCTGTGTTCTTAAACACAATACTTTGTTAATAAGCAATAAAACCCTTAGAACTACCACAAGATATAATTTATGTTACCATCAATCTCATTAATTTTTAATTTATTTATAACTTAACTTACTATGTTCTTACATGAAATACTTGTTTAAGCAATTAAACTCTTAGAGCTACCACAAGGGATTATTTATCTTACCATCAATCTAATTACTTTTTTTTTATTAATTTTCCAGATTTATCATTGAGGAGAACATCAACAACAACACTGGCATCTCCTTCTTTGCTGTATTCGACGGACATGGCGGCGAGTTTGCCGCAGATTTTGCCAAGGATGTGCTGGTAAAGAACATCTACAACAAGATCATCGAGATGTCCAAGTTGCTAAAGACCGAAGGATATTCCGGTGACTACGACAAGAGTCCTTATTTGGCTCGCAAGCAGAGTCGCAAGGAATCGAACAAGGAGAACACAGAACCGACGGCAGCGGTGACTCGAAAGGATAGCTTAAGAAAGGCCCACAGCACCACTGCTGATTGCAGCGCCATTAAACAAAAGACAACCGAGGCCTCGATCGCCGATATTTATACAGCCCAGCTGAACTCGGCGATGAGAGCCAGTGGAAATGTGGGCGCCGCCAAGGACTCGTTTCTGAACAACAACAACAATGCCCAGAATGGAGCGGGCAATGCGCCACCGCCAAACTACGAAGCCAAGTGCTACATCGAAAACGGACGTATTAACTTCGGGAAACTGATCACAGACGAGATCATGTCGGCCGACTACAAACTTGTGGAGCAAGCCAAGCGGGCGGTAAGTAATTCTTCTATGTTAAATTAATAAATACTGAATAATTGATTACCTTCAGACCAACATTGCGGGCACCACCGCCCTGATAGCAGTTGTCCAAGGCTCCAAACTGATTGTGGCCAATGTGGGCGACTCCCGCGGCGTCATGTACGATTCCCGTGGCATTGCGATTCCCCTTTCCTTCGATCACAAGCCGCAGCAGGTGCGCGAACGAAAGAGGATCCACGATGCCGGCGGCTTCATCGCCTTCCGAGGAGTTTGGCGCGTGGCCGGCGTTTTGGCTACATCACGTGCCCTCGGCGACTATCCGCTGAAAGATAAGGTAGGAAGTGAGATGATGATCCCAATCGGTTACCAGCCAAGCTAATCTTGACTTTATTTTTAACCGCACGCTTACAGAATCTGGTGATTGCTACGCCGGACATTTTGACCTTCGAACTGAACGATCACAAGTGAGTGAAGCCTTTAGAAAAATAGTGAATTAATTAACAAGCTTAAAAGTAGACTTTTTTCCTTTATAGCATATAGGAGCCCTGCATGAATGGATTCAATGAATTATTTTGAATTTATTGTTTTATATGAATGAATTAATTAGAATTTTGAGTTTAATAGAATTGAATGAATTTGAATTTTGAGTTTAATAGAATTGAATGAATGGTAAGAATTCCGAAATAATTCAAAAGACAATTTCTTTTGAAGAAGAAAAGGCCATAAATTTGTGATTAAATCTGCATGAATTTTATTTTCTAAGCAGTTAACATTGATTTGTTAAAAATTTTCCACTTTTTGTTCTCAAAAGAAAGCACAAAAAAAAACTAGAAAATTCAAAAAACTCATAAAAATTATTCATTCATTTATTCAATTCGAAATGAATCAGAAAAACATTCAATTTATTTCGCATAGAATTGAAAAATCAGAAATTTCATGGCATACTATGATAAAACAAAAATTGAATGGTTAACGCAGGGCTCTTTAGCATATGTATACAATTAAACGAACTTAATTTAGACCTATGATTAACATTTAACTTCCTTTTAGGCCCCACTTTCTGATACTAGCCTCCGATGGCCTCTGGGACACGTTCAGTAACGAGGAGGCCTGCACTTTCGCCCAGGAGCATCTGAAGGAGTCG